GGTGTAATTTCATAATCGCACGAGCGTATTCCACGCGATACGGGGCAGGCGATTTCTGCGGTTCAGGAATTTACTTGGAAGCAATTAATTATCACGGTGCTCTGCACCCTGACAGCTCTAATGCCTTTAATTGCCTGTTCGTCGCGATTTCTTTGTCCGTCTTGTGGGAAGCGTCTTCCGCGTGGCGCGATTTAACACGTCGAGTACCGCGCCTACCGTCGAACATCGAGCATAATACGATTTTAGCCTACTTAAACCGGGGTTGTGTACTATGCTTGCATAGAAAAGGGAAATATGTCACAACCGGGGGAGCCATTGTTGCAAGAGGCCTCTATAATTCAACGAGGCCTCTATAAATATAACTATGATAACAATAGCATGGACTTGGCAGCACCGAGGTGGGCTTATCACTAAATATACAGAAAAATTGAACAGGAGAGTATTTAACTATCAATATAAAAATTTACTCTCGCTTTCTGCTTCACGAAAGTTGCACAGAAAGTGATATAATAAATTGCAAACGAATCGAGCTCCCGTTGCCTCGCGAGACAAAATCCTTAATTGATCGATATTTCTCGGTCGAGTGGCGATTTTAATTAAACGAAACCGAATAGAACCGATGATATCGATGTTATCCATCGGTGGAACGCGTCGTCGGAGAATCAAGAGACGGATGCCAGATTGGCAGAGAAATTGCGGAACCGAATAAAGGTTTCCCTCTCGTTGACCCAGATAACGCCGACTACCGGAGATTGTCAAGGGAGGCGATCGGATCGCGGCAAGATCGATATAATGCGTCCCGGACCGACCTCTCTCGAGTCAATCGTGCGCACGATATTTTCAATCGGCCACGGGTATCGTTTGGCTTGCATTCAGCTCAATGCTCGTCCAAGAATCCTCCTTCGAAAATATCCGCAGTAGGGTCAGCTCGTTCCTCGTCGAACCTTGGAAAGTCCCTTTTGTTGGCACACAATCCGCAGCGGACACTAGCTTTCCTCTAGACGCGACTCGCATTTTCTAATCGTTGATCAAACCTTCCAGATTCTGTAATCGGGATCCCCAATCTCTATAACATTCATAAAACCGTCCAAGGAAAAGCACTACCAGTAGAGATCCTTGTTCTATATTTATTTATTTAAGTTTTCAATAATTTAGTCCCAATTTTAATATTCCGTCATCAAATTCGAAATCCGGACTATTTTTAATTTCTGTCATATTTCCAGGACGTTTCCATTTCCACTTATCTTTGGATACATAATATTTACAAACCGAAAGAAGGAAAATTATGCTCCTGAATAATTCCGCGAGTTTCTCTTCGGGTAGGAGTTACCGCTCTTTCCTTTTTCGAAAAGAAATTGCAAAAATGTTGATGCTACCGATAAGCAAGTGACGTTCCATGTTTCAAAACTCTCTCGTATGTTAATGCGAACAAAAGAGAGACGAGAAAGATTAAGAGGAGGGAATTATACCTTCCAAAATTAAAGAACCGAGTTTTGCGGCGGCCTGTTCGTCAACGACGCGAATAAAGAATTCATGACGAACACGGTATAGTCTTCTGTGCGACGCCCACGGATCGTCTCCGTCGCGAACACGTTGCAAATCGCGAATTGATTTACGAACGATGGCCATTGCGTTACGCGTATATATCTCGATTTCCTTGGACCCCACGCATCGAGGTCTCCTCTCCGGCGTCGCGAAACCCTCGCAAGTGTAACACTTTGTGGTCAACGACTGTTCCACACGTCTCTTTTTACGCCATTTTACGTAAGAACCAATTTAACACCGTTCCTTCTCGACAGAAACCATGTTACACTTTAATTCAAACGTCAATCATTTTAAGAGAGTAAACGAAATGGATTAAATGCATGCATGGCTTGTAATCGCTAAAAATATCTTTAAAAGAATTTCGACCTTGTCTTTCGGATCTTCCTCGTTACATCTAAAAATGCGCAAACGAGGAACCTGACAAAATTATGCAGGACGTCCCACCTAACTTGTTTTTGATAGAGGAAGCCAGGGGACATACCCAAATTGATGGTAGCACTTTTATTAATTCAAAACTGAAGGCTTAAAAAAATATCGATGATGCCGAAATCTCGATAAATATAACACTTTTTCCTCATCATTCTCGGAATAATATTTTCCTCCGTTATTTTTTTCCTATCATGAAAAAGGACCTACATATCGAAGGTGATCGAGTTAGGTGGAACACTCTGTTTAAAGTAAGATGGAGTAACAGATCGAATGTATTTCATTGTGTCGTAAAAGTGGCGAAAACAGGTGTATATACTAGCTTTAAATCGAAAGTAAATGTTAACTGTAATTCGATATTAAAATTGATGGCATGGAATCTTTTTAATTTTTCCACCTACCAGGATACTTTACTCTCTTACTTTCACGTAACATTTGTACGAGTAAAAAGAATTGTACATGCTTATAGATTCAGACGTTCTCTGGTCTCCGCGATTTTACGATGACTATAAAACGAAACAAGAAGATACTCGTTAAAAACACCAGATGAAATAACGATCTCTCGAGGTAGATTGGTTTCGCCTAGTTTTGATCCTCGTTCTCGCGTCTATTAGACATCGTATAAAAGTGTTTCGCGATTTTTTCAAGCCCATAAACCGTCCAAATATGTGTCGACATTTATTCGAAATTAACGTAGCTCGTTACGACATCGTTTCAGATTCCAGTTCCTCGCGTGTACTAAATATAGCCCGAAGAAATTGGAGAGCTGATCGACAATGTCAAAAACACTGTGGATATTAATTTTTTGTTGTTTCGTAATGGGTTGTCTGTGCTCGAGTAGCACGATTATTTATCGCAATCGATCGTGTTTCTTCTACGGTTACAATCACTGCGGTCTCTCTACGATGGCTGAGAATTTCTCTTCTGTTCGTCAGGACTCTGAATTTTATATGAATTATATTATAAACATCGAGTTCTATATTAATTTCAAAATGAAAAAGTAGGAGCATGAATCATCTTTCTGATCGATAGAGCAATTCTTCGAACACAAGTTCTTTCGATCTATGTTAAGGATCTTCTTCAGAGACATTATTCAATAAAGCAGAATATTATTCATTCAAGATGCTTAACGAGTGAAATTTCTAGGGCAGATCAAGATATAAACGGTAATGCATGCTATACTGATAAAAAATTCTAGACCTTGTGTACATCCTTTTTCTCCAAGGAATTTCACGCTACGTATAACATATAAATAGCAGGACTTGACACTATTACCGTTTGTATCTTGATCTATCGAAGAGATGTCGAAGTATGTTACTCGCGTATGTACTATTTTTGAATAAATAAAGTTCCCGAAGAAGGTCCTCGACATAGACCCGTCCCATCGACCAGGAGGATAATCTATATCCCTACTTTTTTACTTGAGAATTTTTCGGCCGAAAGAAGAAGCTTATTAATTTTGCATAATATATTATTCCGCCAAAAAAACGTGGTTGGCCTCGGAATCTCGTAAAACGCGTGTCTGTAAAAACGAACAAGATTCTCGTTTAATTTTTTTCATATTTTCAAAATAAATATACTGCAAGTGCACGCGTTAAGGCAAACACGTTATTTGTCCGACATCGGGACGAAAACAGAAGAAGCGGTGAACTTATTTTTTCGGACAGTTTCCATTCCACGGAATGCAATTCTCGGACTTTCACGGTCCCAGTCGGGCATTAAAACCGAAAGTTTGGCGAAAACTCGCCGGCCCAGCCTTGAATTTTAACCAACTCAGAATGTCAGAACCTTTACGTCGCGCGGCTTTTGGATCGGTGAACGTTTAGAGAAACCGGACCGGATACCTGCAGATTGCGTTAACCAGCCAGAAAAAAAAAGAAAGAAAAAAACGGGATCGAGATTCGATCATCGAAATGTTACGTATTTTACAAATTATAGTAAAATTCCTGGGGAAGCGTCGACGAGGCATTGAATATTCATAATCGTTAATGTGTCCGCGACAGAAGCTAAGAACGTGTTTGTCATTTGCTTGTCACCTTGAATACGTAATTACGATCTATAATTAAAAGATATCTTCGATCTGGCTTAATCGTTTCACGGATTTCATGTGGCTTCGAAACACGAAAAACACGCCAGGCATTTGTCGCTAAATTTTTATTAAAACAAAGTGCTGTTTTCCTTTCAATCCGTCAAATTAACAAGCACCGTAAATTTAGTGTGAAAAATAGCTAAACGTAGCGTGAATTTTCCACGTGATCGTAACATTTTTGCCCGCGCCAATGATTTTCTAGCTCGCCGTAGCACATTTGGAACAATGCGTCCAATTTTCCTGGGCCTCGGTAATTCCAGGCGAGATCGATAGCAGTTGGAAGGTATCGTTTTCGCGAGAAGAGCCCGTTTCCTGTTGATTGTTCGATCGTTCGTATTTCTACGGACGATGTTGCCGCCCGACAATACGATTATTCGGCAATTGGGATCGTCCAGAAGAAATGGTCGCTGCCTTTTGCGAGTGGCGCCTTTCGTGCCGTTCTATCGTCAATCTTGTTAGCCAGGGTTCACCTTCTCGTTCACGCTTTACGACACTTTAATGCAGCCTTTGTTGGCAAAGCACTCGCGGCTCTTTTTGCAGGATCGCCGTGATAAACGCCAGCCGTTCCGCTGACTTTGCCTCGGATCACCGATAAAGAACTGTTCGATTCGATGCATTTATCACTCGCCTCGTTCGGAACGTCGTTCGCTACTCTACAGAGACGAAATACGAGATCTTGAAATATTTTCCAAAGCGAAGGTCGTTATCCCTCGTTGACGTTTCTTTCGAATGCAACAAGCGAATTCTTGTGGCTATCTCGATTGCAGAGTTAAATATTATGGTTTCAAACTAGTTTAAGGGTCTGGAATTAATTTGTAGACCTAATAGATGGAACATAAATTCCTGGCATAGAGTATTTATTGTAGATTAATCCGCATTGTCCCAAGCATCGCGATAATACCACAACTACCGCGAGACACGCAGAAGCTAAAACACTTACCCTAAAATCCTGCCGGCTTCCGGGCTCCTATAGTAGTCGCATCTGTGTAGAGGTCTCCTAGGATCGTCCACGTTCCTCTGTCCAGCCGCCTGGCACATCGCTCGATAAAGCTGGAACTGTAGAACTCCTGCCACGAAATTCCTGTAAAATATAGGAGAAAGCGAATTAGACGATTTCCCCATAACGAACACACGTACACGTACATATGTATCGAAACGTCGATAACTTTGCTTCCATCACCCATAAATATTGGGTTCACGGTCAAACGATTCACAGAGAGAAGAGCAACGAATTACATAAATTAGGGAGTCTCATAGAATTCTTAAACTCTTATCCTAGCGTTTCAAATCGTAAAAGGTTCTCCTCGCCTTGACGAGACATATAAAAGAAATTATTTCCAAATAAAATTCAACTTAATCCTTCTTATTCGCTAATCCAACTCTTCGTCATTCGTAGAATCTAATTTTACTGTGGAATTGTGGTAAATTCTTTTCCCTTTAGTGGATTATTTCTTCACTGTCTAAAATAAATAATTATTTACACAGAACTTGGCGATGGTACCTTGGGGGGTGGATTGAAATTAGTACAAAGATCCCTCGCGTTTTAATTTGCAGTTTGGAGATAAATTTCGCCCGACTGTGTCGATTCTCTAGAACCGATACTGGTGGGAACGCAAACGTGACCAGAGAGGCAATTAATCGCCGGAGCGTTTAATGACCCTCGCAGCGGGAACTTTTTAGTCGAACCTTGAAGGAATCGCGACCCCTCCTCAAGGCCAGTGTCAACGAGGTCGATCAGTCAGCTAGGATGCCTTTGGCGCGGTGATCTCGGGCTGCTCTTCCCTCTAACAGAGAAAGAGAGAGCGAACGAGGCGATACGCGTTGTGCCATTTCACCCAGGCTCTTCATCGGCGACGACCTTTACGTAATACCGCGGGATTACGCTTCTTCGTGGCTCGAAGTTACGACGTCCGCGTCCGCTTTCCATCGGAACGCCGTGTCCCGAAAACGCTTACGACCGAGATCGAAAGCGAGGAACGAGGATGCCTGGCCAGATGATCGTTTCATAATGATCGTCGTAATTGCGGAGATACTTTATTGGTCGGGATCTTTCAGCTCGCTTTCGCACGGCTAATTTCGCCGTCTCGAAGGATGGATCTCAGATCGATAGAAGTTCCGTGGAGCTCAACTTGTCTGGATTAAGTACGACTTAGGTCTAGATTAAGTAATTACCGAGTCGGGAATGTTTTATTGGCCGATCCTTCGACCAGCTTTCACGGGACTCTGCTCGAATTCTGGTCCAAGTTCTCTTCGAGGATTTTGTAATTTTACTCTTAGGGTAGTCGAAAGACTTGTTTGTTGCAAGCGTCTAACGTACAAGCAGTATCGATATTTTTAACGAGTGTACATTTATACAGGTTCGCAATTACCATCGTTTTACTGCACTCCACTTTTATCAGATCGTTCGAGTCGTTATCGAGATTGTTGCAGTAGCGACATTGTTCGTTATAGTCTTCTGCATACATGCATTATAAAAGTGCTCGCATAATAGGCGGATCTACGAACGAACCTTCGCGAGAAAAGTTGTGGTTCGTGTAAATAATCTCTCATCTTTTACCCCAATTTTATCTCGATCTTAATGTCTGCAGACCTATCGTTAATCGCGCGAAGAAAAGCTGCTTTCCATCGAATTCATTGCGTTTCGTTTTCAATGATTCACCGTTCGAGGAACTAGAAAAAGCAAGTCGGCCGATCGGAACGATCGAACGTGTCCAACGAAGGTGAAATTGAACGGGCGAGAAAAAAAGCGATTACGTAGCTAGAGAACGTTCGTACGGCCAATTTTTATCGAGTGACCTTTGGATTCTGCCCACGTGGCAGCGCGAAACCCGGTGGATTCCGTTCTAGGCGGTTTCTCGGTACATCCATCGATATTCAAGGAAAGGAAAACACCATTGACAATAATTGGATCCAAGGTAAGACCTTCTCTGCGAATGGCGTGGCTCGTGATTCATGGATCCGCGTTCAGCTATACGTTTCGCTTTTTCACTCCAATTTATCTCGACGCTATGCGAAACACAGGAATCGCGAAGGGCACGTCTTCCGATATTAGATAATATTTCCAGCAAACCTGACACAAGTGGAAACGACTTTCGAATTTCGAGAGGAACACAGCATCTTTCGAAATAGAAATTAAGGGCTTCGTTGGCCTAGGTCGAATCGCGATTTGCTCGATCGTTAAACTCAATTATTGGCATCTGTTTGGAAAGTGTTACTTTTGCATTTGTTCTTGAATAAAACAAGAGATTAAGAACGATCGGTGGTGATTTTCTTGCGCGGGGTCAGGACAATCGGAGTGCGAGTCGCGGCGATACAGTCGGGGTCACGACGATCGCTTTCACATTATCAATTCAAGAATGTAAAACGATTATTTATGTTTTTATAAGACACACGATATCGGGTATCTTTCGATAAAAAATAAAAAGAAGCGCGAGAAATCTTCAAAGCACAAAATCCGATATTAAAAACTATATATAAATATATTTGTACAGTTATTATTACTATTATTATTATTACTGAATTTTTGTAATTATTATTATCGTCACTACTCTTTGAACCCAGCAACCTCATTTTTCCTTTTTACGTTGACAGTTACACTAATATGCAGGTTTTCTTTTAACTAGGAAGATGCCATTTGTAATGTTTATTGATTCATTTTTTCCATACTGTATCATCTGTATAAATGGGGCTAACCGTACAATTATTATTATTACCATATCCGTATCGTTGCATTAATCAAACTGGGCATAAATCGGCGATAAATAATAATTACGAGTCGTGGAACTTGGAGTACGGAATCCGACGCCCGTCAAACCGATCCGTAAACGTAGCGTTAAAATTGCTCGGGATAAACAAGCATGAGAAAGCGTGGAGATGCCAGTGACTCGTTTTGATAGCCATATGCACGCGGAGAACACGCACCGCGATGCACCTGTTACGTAATGATGTCGTTCGGAGCGCCCCGAAAGGCAATCATTATTTCATATTTGCAGCAAGCTTCGTCGACTCGGTTCGTGTAGGTGGTGTGTACGCGTGGAAGAAAACGGAACCGGGCCGATCGAGGACGGGGCGAGGCGAGGGAAATCGTGACGCAGGGACCGCGTGTCTCATGAAAGGGAGCAAATGGTTGCACCCACGAGATTGGCGGGCAGATAAATCCTACGAGAGAGTCTTACGCTACGTGCACACGTAACCGTCGAGGTTGCCTCGAGGAGAAGGACGAGAACGGAACACGCCGCCACGGAGAAAGGGAAGAGGATCGAGTTCGCAATTGCACCGGTTCGATCGCTCGAGAAGGAAAGGCTGTCCCAGGGAGCCTTTTGGGGTTAGCCACGGGCCTGATCCTGATCCTGATCCTGATCCTGTCTTTCCTAACCATTTTTTTGCGTCTCGAGTGTTTTCGTGTCTCCCTTAATAGTCGATGTAAAAAATTAAAAAAAATATATATAAAAAAACGCGAACTGGTTGCGAAAATTACGGAGGAGGACCGACGCCGTGGATGTTCGCTTTCGAAAGACTGTGGACCTTTCCCTTTCGCGCATAATCGCTCCGGACGACGATGATCGACGACGAGGAACTCACTCCGAGCGGGAAACGGGGCCGCGCGGAGGGAATCGTAATTAAGAGAGATATTTCACGCGTTGTCGCCGTGGAATGCAAATTACGCGCATCGTCGGAGAACCGTGCGAAGTTGCCGGAGACGCGAGCCCAGGGCGAGTTATAACGCCATCCGCCATTAAAGAATTCCTGTCGCCACGATTTTCGGAAGGTTGCATCACGCGATCCAGGAATTTTCTCCTTTACAAATTTTACAATCGTTCGTTCGTTTGCTTTTTCAAAGAAACGAACCTTTCGCTCGAGCACTCGACGATATTATTTCACTTTGCGCGAGTGCATACATTCTGCATACGTTTAGCGTATTATAAATGCATAAAATATAAATATGTATATCCTAATTATGTATATAATTATGGAAATTTTCACGTTACGAGTGCTTTGGAACTATCAACCTGGTCGGTTGCCCTGTCAAATTAATTTTCTGTATCCACGCAAATTGTATTTCCACTCGCTCGATTTTGATATTAATTAATTTCGGTATTGGTACGTCAACCACCTGTATTTACTATAATTATGCCTGTTGCTGTATATGCAAAGTTCCTTAATTAAAGTCGACGATCCAGATAGATTATATTTTCAAAATGATCGACAACGTTTTTCATACGTTCAACTTGTTGACTCGATCAAGAGAATAGTGACGTTTCGAATGCAACTTTGACCTCCTGCAACATTTTTAAAACGCAGAAGATATGAAAACTAAGTCCCAAAAAATCTACCCATTAAAGATGGTGTCCAGTTTGTTTGCTCGGGTTCGCTGTCGGTTGCATTGTTTTTCAGTATGCGGAAAGATTTTTCTCGCTCGTTTTTTTACCGAAACACAAAACATTGGAATGATACAGTTATTTTTCGGTCTCGTTCAAGACTTACAAAAAGAATCGCAAAGCTATTGATACGTCGGAATTCCGATATTGTGACTGGCAAATATTTTTACGCACAATATTTGCCCACTTACGACCTATTTGCGTTGTACAATTAGTACAAAGGTACAACATAAAATAGAAATATAATGGTAGAGAATTTGAAAAGCAGACTCGTAATGCTTGTCGTAATGGTCGAACTTAACTCTTCGGAGTTTCTAATTCTAATTGAACGATCCAGAAAAACAATCTACGAGATCATCTCAGTAATTTACAGATACAATAATGCGATTAATTGGATCGCAAGAACCGTAATGAGATAAAGGCCTTGTATCGCAATATGTACGTGATTCGAACATGAAATTTTAATTAGTTCCAAACGGGGGTACATGCTTGATCTCGAGTCACTCTCGTTCTTTGTTTCTTTTTGCATCCAGAGAGTTAATTCCCCCGAGTAAATAAATAAACTCCACTTATCTTGACACGATAATCGTCGCGATGTCCCTTAACGCGTTAAGCGCCGTGTCATTTACTGGTGACTGACGATATACTTTCCGTTCAGGCCACGTCAGTTACTGGTAACTGACGATATACTTGCTATCCAGGTCACGCCAGTCACAAGTAACCAATGGTACGAAATTTAATAAATTAACAAAATTAAATTTTAAAAAATACTTCAATCTTATTCAAATCTTTACCATCACTCCGTACGTATGTAAGTATGCTCCACAACTGATTCAAAAAGAAGTAAATAAAATCGTTATTAAATTCTGGGAACGTCAAAAACCCTTACTGAAACTTCATAACAGAAGGTTCTACGGTAATTTTTTCAAGCTCCCACGACAATACAGGCAGTTCAGAAATGAAAATATGCACGTAAGCAAACGATCGCCAGTGTATATAAAAATATTATGAAACAATTTCGATCGCGAGCCAGCAGTCGGTCCCAGAGTCGTATCGCTTCCGGCAAAGACGTAGTGTCGCTCAGGAGCGGGTCCAGCGGCCACGGAAAGTAAAAAAATAGGGTCAAGCTTGAGGCGTCCGTCGCATGAAACGACTCACGGCGTCAGGGTATTGTCGGTATCCGCATAACAGCGGACCTCGGAGGCGGAACACAGTGGGGATCCCGCGAAGGAAGAAGAAAACGAAACCGTCGCCGTAGGAGAGGGACGGTTTTCGAGAGGCGTGGGGGAGGCGAGCCGTGTGCCCCAAAGGGGAGTGGTAGAGTCGATCGTGGTCGTTCTATGCGAACAAAGAGGTGTAACGTGGGGGGTATGCGAGTTGGGCCCGGGTGGCGAAGGCGAAAGCATGTCGCGTATATAAGGCGACGAACCGCCGGCAATCAGCATCCAGTTCACTTCTGGACGCACCTGGAATATCTCGAGAGCAAAAATGAGAGTCCTGGTACGTCGCCGCGCACACCGGATCCGACCGTCGTGTTCAAAATCCGGGAACCGGAAAGGGGGTTCGAGAAACCAGTGATCAGAAACGGGGGATAGGCACAAGAGAGACACGCACGCGTTCGTCGCAGTGAACGGTTTCCACGATGGAGTGCCTGGCAAATCGGGACCAGTGAAATTCCCGTTAAAACGGTCTCGGTTTAATTGGAAGATCGGTGAAATTCGAGATCCGTCGTTTCCCAATCGACCGAGGCGTCGTGTCTCTCTCGTCCAGGGCCCGTTTGCATTAACGCGTTCTACCACCGACAGTTTCGGTGGGTCTCGAACGGAGGATCGTCGTTTTTAAACGTTGGATATCCGTTTGAAACCCGCTCGATGTTCCACGCACGGAGATTTACCGATTTGTCCGCGGGTTCGGTCGATCTTCCTCGGGAGAAGGACGATCGATCAAACTTGCAGATAAATATCCGGTAAACCTGGTATATGGACAACTTAAAACCGTTTATAGACGGAGAGGATTATCGGAGACTTAACCGCAGGTTCGATGGATCATCTTTCTTGCTAGTGTTTTACGCATGAGAGACGGTCTATCGAGTTCGTAGATAATCCGCGTACGAGCAGCTTCAAACAGCCCTGTGCAGGCAGAGAATTATCGGGGGTTTGCCCCCGCGGGGGCGACCAACCCTTTCACGAGGGTAAACCTTCGGTAAACCTCTATCGAGCATGGGTTGAAACAGCTGATACGCGTAGAGGATTACAGAAGGGGAAAAATCTGCAGGTCTCCGATAAATCTCGATCGTTTTCGAGCGCAAGGGTCCATAACCCAAAATCGAAATCGAAATCGTCCGGATCCGTTTTCGACCGGTTTCTCGAGTCGCTTTCGTTCTCGTTGGCGACCAGTCTCCTAACCGCGAGACACTGACGTCCGTGTGGTTTGCAGATCTACGCGACGGCGTTCGCCGTTCTGGTCTCGTCCATTTGGGCCACGGAGGCCGAGAAGTCGGAGACACCCGCAGCGGAGAAGTCGACGAAGAAGCAAGAGAAGCGGGGTCTGTTGGGTCTGGGTTACGGCGGTGGCTACGGCTACGGTTATGGCCACGGCTACGAAGGCGGCTACGACATCGGCGGCGGTGGCCACGGCGGTTTGGAGGTGGGCGGCGGCTACGGCGGTTATGGCGGTTATGGCGGTTATGGCGGTTATGGCGGCTACGGCGAACACGTCAAGACCCTGACCGTCGTGAAGAACGTCGCCGTCCCGTACCCGGTGGAGAAGCACGTGCCTTATCCCGTCGAGAAGCCGTATCCGGTCGCCGTGAAGGTCCCGGTACCTCAGCCCTACCCGGTGGAGAAGCCCTATCCAGTCAAGGTTTACGTGAAGGTTCCAGTCCCGGTTCCGCAACCCTACCCAGTGGAGAAGAAGGTTCCGTATCCGGTTCAGGTGCCAGTCGACCGTCCGTACCCCGTGAAAGTAGCAGTCCCGCAACCGTACCCCGTGGAGAAGACCGTGCACGTCCCAGTTCAGGTACCAGTGCCTCAGCCGTACCCGGTCGAGAAACCCTACCCAGTGCCAGTCAAAGTTCCGGTCCACATACCCTATCCAGTCGAGAGAATAGTCCACGTCAAGGTCCCGGTCGACCGTCCGGTCCACGTGCCGGTACCCAAGCCTTACCCCGTGCACGTCGACAGACCGTACCCGGTACCAGTCGAGAAGCATGTACCGGTGCACATCAAAGTTCCGGTTGACAGACCGTACCCAGTACCGGTCGAGAAGCCGTACCCCGTTGCGGTGAAGGTGCCCGTCCCTCAGCCGTACCCGGTCGAGAAGCCTGTGCCCTACCCGGTCGAGAGGCCCGTGCCAGTCGAAGTCAAAGTACCGGTGGACAGACCGTACCCGGTCCATATCGAGAAACCAGTCCCGTACGCGGTCGAGAAGCCTGTTCCTTACCCGGTTAAGGTACCAGTAGCCGTACCCGTACACCACGAGCACGGTTACAGTCACGGTTACAGCAACGACTGGGCGGGCGGCCACGGTTATCATTAAGGTTATACGAAAATGGCGTCGATATTGAGTAGCTAGAACCGCCGATCGGACGGTGGACAGCGACCGGAGTAATCGACGAATTAACGATCGCACAGGGAGAAGAACGATACCGATTAGAACGTCGCCGTGGCGCGCGTCGATCCGCATCGCGTCTTTCTTTCGATAACCGGGTCGCCACGGGCGAGGACTTTCGGTTGGATCAAAGACGCCTCTCTCGGCCGACGCGCGTCACGTAGGAGAGATACTCGTTGTTGGAACCTGCCTTCGGTGACCTCCGCTCGCAAACAGCTCGCTTGTCTCACATTTTTTACCGATATAGCAGAGTATGTATTTTTTTACGAAATATAAATGTTAGTGATATAAAATGATTACCCTGATCGGTGTGTTTGATCCCGTCTCGTCGATCGTACGATCCGACCTTCCACCGTTTCCTCGTATTCCTCGACGACTCGACGATTTCCACTTTCATTTTCCGCGCGCATGACGACCCTCCGCCTTCGCGAGCCTGATCGTTAACCGGTCCGTAACGACGCTCGTCAGAAACTACGTCGTAGAACGTTTCCACCTCGGTACAGGCACATCCTGTTCGCAATCGAGAAGAATTCCTCCGAGGGGTACGCTCGTATCGAATAATTCCGATCGTTGGTGCAAGGCTTTCCATTGTGACCAATCTGATTTTTATTTCGAGTTAGGTTGCAAGCGAACAAGAAAGACGGAAAGGAGTGGCGGTTTGTCTTTGACTTTGTTACAGCAGGAATTCTCGTGTCCAAATAGTTACTTCTCGTAGGTCATAGGTGAAATGAAAATGTTACGCTGAATTGCAGACTTAACAGCTTAAGCTGTTCTCCCTTCTTATTTTGTAGTTTGAACTACGGTTGAAATCCTTTGCTCGCATAAGTATGCAAGATAACGCGTGAGGTACGCCGGTGACGTTGGATCGTTTGGTAATAAGTAGACAGTGGTTTATGCACGTAAGTTATGCAAAGAGCGTATGACATTTATGGACGTAAAATATACATACATGCAGGCAAAGTAAAACACTGTCACATTCTTTAAAAAAGTAAACATTTTTGCTCCGTTGTATATTTATTAATAACAGTGTTTGGAAAAACCATTGAACTGATTATTAAATTGTCCCTTCCTGGATCTTTTAACTCCACATCCAGGTATTCCGAGCGAATCTAGAATCATTATAAAATCGGCCAGCTCTGGGTCTCGGATACAAATCGTTTCTAATTTATTTTTCTACAAATAGGCCATGCCCGGAACAACGGCTAAACGCTTGCAACAGAACTTATGACAGTGCTGGGTAATTTATAGGGCCGGGGGATACATTCGTCGAGCCGGGTCACGATCGAGCGTGCGCTTTTCGCTGGTTTCGCGAGTTTACTTTGATCAGTTCGCGGTTGACCGACGATCCAGCGTAAACGTCGCACGGAATAAGTGGTCGTCGGGCCCCCGTACGGAAGTTTCTCAGGGTGGTTGGTCACGCGTGCACGGTCGAGATGGTTTTATCGACGACGCGAGATCGCACGGTGCAGCCGCGACCCAGTTCGCTCGCTGCCAACACGCCCCTGCCAAATCGATGCTCTTGATCACCCCTCGCGTCCACGTACCCTCGTAATTTGCACCGACGTGGCGCCCGACAGCTCGTTGCTTCTCAACTCGCTTCTATTTTCTGCGGGAACCTCGCCGAGCCCGACCCCGGCCAATGGAAATTACCCGGGACGGCTTCGATCCTACGACCAACCGACTTCCGTCTACGCAATAGGGTCTGCGAATCTTTCGAAACGTTCGAACGTTAGGCGTGTATATCGGTTGCACGACGGAACGCTCGTAAAACCGCAAAATATTGTAAATCCTAACGATAAACGTGTTCGAAATGATTACTGGAAACGATCGTAGATTATTGTTATTAACATCGAAGTCCGTCCTCCGGAACTTGGAACGAGCCACCGGAAAGTTTAGCAACAGCCTACACGGAACATTCAATTACCTTCGTTGCGCGTTTGTTAAGCAACCGCGTGGATGCGTCGGCGGCAAGGTACTCGATTTCGTATTCGTTCGCGTACGAAACTTCCTAACGATGGTAGAAGAACCGACCACATAGGCCGGAGTCCTCGAGAGAAGAAAGTCTCTCGAGGGATTAATTATCGAGCGATCGAACGGCGCGGTGGCCAGATCCTTCGATTGACTTCGTTAGTTCCGGCGGGGGTTTCCGTAACGGAAGGCGGCGGTGCATGTCGGAAGATCGCGCCTTCTCGTTTAATTCGTCCACGGTTAAGTTCCGCGCTATCGACCCACTTTGGCCGTGCCCAACCGGCCACTTGACTCGCGAACGACTTACGTGCTTGTCCATTGGACGAGCCAACCGTGTTGTTATGCAACCGACCCGTTGCCGCACGCGACTCCGTCCGAGGCTGAAAGTGAGAGACCTCCCTTCGCCTTCGACGAAAAGATCGCCGCGTGAGAAACTCGTGCGTTTTTTTTATGGCTACGCGAAACGGTCCCTTTCCCTTTCGATGATTCTTTACGGGCCAACGTTCCTGTTTCTCTTTCACCGTTGGACTTTGACACTTTCAATTTCTGTCGGCGTTGCGTCCCGATGCGGCAACGCGGAGGACAATGGCCAGTGTAGAAAGAAACGGAGATTAAACCTAGGTTAATTCTATCCGAGCAATTTTGTTCAAGGTTTTCACGAAAACTGACTGAAGCGTCAGGTCCTGCAGACTCCCTTAAATTTGGTATTCTGCAAGTGTTCAGAGAGAAACTGGTACCTTTCCCTTTCGATGATTCTTAGCGAACCAACATTGGCACTTTCAATTTCTATCGAGCTTATAAGTCAATGTGGTAATGTAGAAGATGATGGGTATTGAAGGAAAGTTGATTAGACCCAGGTTAAGAGAAGTACTGACCGTATCTAATAACTTGTTCTCGCATCTACTTGAACTTACAAGTTTCTACTCTCCATCGAGATATATTAGATACATGTGTTCTTTTCTACCCAGTAGATATGCTACCAGTTTTGTAAAACGCAAGATTTCTCAATTGTAAGGTGTTTATAGTGGATCTTGGGTAATTCTTTATCGGTTATAGTTTAGGAAAGCTTCTCTCACAGCTAGCAACGCGAACAGCAATCATGAGAAAATATCGCAGCGGTATTACAATATGTGGAACCAAGTACTCAAGATCATACTTTTGTCTAAACTGGAAGAGGACAATGAGCCCCTCTTTTCTCATCTTTGTTTCGTCTTGTATAGCAGTTGTACAACCTCGCTATTTCACCCTGCTTGGTATAGTTCTCCTATATACGTCACTTTTATTTTATTTAGCGAATAAAGTTGTAAAAAAAATGGCGCATCTCTATAGATGCTTTGTATTAAAGCCACAGAACACATGTGCTACCTATTGCATACTTGAATAGTTTTAAAATATTCTTATGTAATAATAAATAACGTTTATGTTTATTTATCACGCTTGAATTAGTTACCGCGCATTTCTTGGTCTAGCGGCCGCCTTTAAGAACTGTCTTTAAGAAACACCGTCGATCGTCGATAAGGTAGCACATGATATTTGTAGTAACAGGTACATACTAGAAACGATGTTACTGTTTCGCTATTCTTACGATTTTATTGGTTGAAATAAAATCTAACACACGTAAGGACGATCACGTTGTATTGTTTCAAAATATCAGTATCATTATTATCATATGCAACCTATAGAAGAAACTTTGCATGCAATGCTTCTTTCAGCCACCGCACAGATTGAGCGCTCGTGATGCACTTTACCAGCGCTCCTAGTGTTTGGAGTCAAAACTAAATATTAGGAGAATTGAATTGCTTCGGAAGCAATTAAAATTAGATCTCAGTGTCGACTCTAAACAAACCCAGATACGTAGGACGTGTATCGATCTCAAAATTTATTTATCTATTCCTCTTTAAAGTTTATTTAGTAAAATTCCAATCGAACAACAAGCACAGAACATTAGGAGAGTTATTTTGTATCTATGGGTAATATTTTACTATAAGGGGATAGAAATATTCACAGTCGTTCAGAACGTTTCTGTTTCGAGACATTGGCATCGTGTTTACGGTAATAAGAGACGAACGATATAACACGAATATAAACAGATCGATAGGAACGCTTGGTGAAACCGGTCACGTTTAGGTAATTAAATTTTGGTTTGAATTCTTCTACAGCTGTAATTTCTACCTGAGGCACCCTCGAGCGTAAGGGTCAACAATATTATTCGAGACTCGACGCTTAACCTTAGTTTCGGAAAAACATCGAGCATAGGAGATACTAGACCTTCCCCCTCCTGCCACCTAATTCGCGATGTCGCTGCTAATGGGACGGTCAACGGTGTCGTCACTGTTGTCATTCTTTGTCTGGAAATTGGTGCGGTAGGACGTGTCAACAATTTCACACATAATAAGATACGTATGTTTTACATATCTACATCTAATTGCTTCTCATCTAATTAATACGTCTTTCGGTCACTCTCTAATGTTGCCTTGTATAAAATTAATACATTTTTATTACGAATTGAATGAGAATCGTGAAGAAAGTTGAACCGGCTTCGCGCATTTTTTCCGACATCTAACTGGTATTGATCGTCGTTATTTTTCTGTAAATGGAATCGTATACAATCTCGTACAACGTATTTCAAGTTCGATCCTTGTTTAATTGCGATATAGGTGCATTTATATTAACGCATTCAATCAAAATTTGTATTTTATTTCTGTTACAGCTTCTGTGGCGACAGCGGCGCTCTACATTACCGCCAGTAGGATAGAATCTAGGTTTTCGAATGTTAGAAGAGTTTGAATTAACGTTTTGTTCATTGCTAGGATTCATTTTAACGGAAATTGTTTAAACATCGAGTCGGTTTAATAAAAGCTTCTCGGGACAGAAGTTGAGCTCTTTCTGATTTTGAGGACGCCACCTATCGTGAACGCCATGACAGAAGTATCGAATCGAACGAATCATCGATTATTGGCAAACTCTAACTTGGTAAATTAAATAACATATCCATACTTGTTTATATATTATTGTCTGCTTATTGAATTTCTACACTTCGTAAGTACAAAATATAATTACGTGACAGTTCCGTCTTAAGATTAAACAAGATTTAAACGACAAAGATTAAATAACAAAATTTTAATATCAAAAGGCTGCAATATAATATTTTTAAGTAAAGAAATTTATGGTTCTAAACAAACAGTATTTCCATTGATAAAAAAATAAGAAAAATAGGAAAGCACACGGTGCTTGTGTAATATTTATTATTTCCCTTCCCAGTTTACAGTTTTTCTTTCAGGAATTTTGATGACCGCGCGCAATGCGGTTAATAGAGTCAGTGTGCATTGCGTAGACAGTTTATTGTTTTTCGAAGCATAATGGCTTCGAGTAGTGTTTCGTTTATAGTTTAGGCACACGCGAAGGTAGAATCAGTGTCTTTTGCGCAGTTGTAAATTTTTTTCCAAAACTCTTTGGTTTCTAAATCGCGACAGTAGAGTCACTTGTTCGTCGATCTTAAGTTTCCATCGCGTTGATTTACTATTTTCTTTAATATTTTTGTCAATTATTTTTTTGAAAAGTAGACTTACTCGTTACCGGTATTAGAATCAGTGCATCACTGAAGAGGAGTTTTGGGCGATGCTCCACGAGCAAAAGATGTAAGTATCGCTCAATTTTTAATATGTAGAGACTTTTGTATTAAATTAAAAATCTCTATAATTTTAACACGCCATTATAATTGTTTCCTTGTTTTTTCAGATTCTAGATCTCATCCTTTGTAAGTAGGAATTCAGCAGGACCATGCAGACGACTTCGTGGATGACTTCTACTGGGCAGCAAAGCTTCGTCATCAACACAAAGGTATATTCTCCATCGCAGTCAACGATCGGTGAGTCTTATATGATTTTTGTTAGATCGTTTATCAAATCGTATTTCTCGCCATGTTTAGTTTTAATTCTCATACTTGATGGCGTTATAGATTAATTTCATTCTGAATCAATAATGTTGGACTTGACACCGAAATAGTAACAGTCTAAAGTAAAGTTTCTCATTTTTTTTTTTGTTTTTTAATTTCCTGATTGTTACGTCTGTGATTAAAATAATCGACGATTGCTAAATTCAATTATAATTTCTGCTGCTTCCTTCGTTTGCTAGCTTTACCAATTCAGTAGTTCAAGTGACTATAGTTCCCAAGATCACCGTTCTTTAAACGGAGAGGTCGCTCGAAAACCACTGGTTTTTTACCAAGTCGGTATTTCAGTTTGTCTGGGTTAAATTCTACAGAAAATTCACGAATTCAACTTCTAATTTAATATTAATATATTTTTTTTATAAATTCAATCCACGTCGCATGTAAAATTGAATCGATTTTCTGTCTGTTCCAACTAAACTACAATCTGTAATATATTTCGTGTTTAATTGTCCTTTAATTATAATACGCGTACATCTACCATTTGCTTTAAATCAGCATTTTATTACTGTTACTGGCTTTAATTGAAATACAAATGCAAGTTACGTGCTATCGATATATGTATAACCGGAAGTGCATTGTTCGGATTTCTGTTGCAATTAGATCTTAAAATAATTTCCATAATAACACTGTTCGAGGTAGAACGAGTCGTCTTGGATTACGCGCGCGTTTCTGAAAACTCGTTTAGTATGCATCCATCGAAAGTGAAGGCGGGAAAGCATGTTAAAGACGTGGAACGAACGAGACACCGTAAAATTATACTGCGTTTCTATGTATATCAGTACCTTCGACTATCGGCACGTGTATCTGAAACGTATCGCGTGTCCTCGGGCCATTGCTCGTACTAACAATCCATCGGGTAGTGTAACAAATTGATATTGCGTCTCGCCAATTTCGAAATCTCGCGTTCTTATTATTTTCTATCGCGAGACCTGTTAAATGGTTCGCGAAAAGAAGGTTATTAAGCTTCTGCCAACATCGTCTGTAATCCTTAAAATCACAAAAAGACAAGAATGCATTATCGCAGACGTCGTTAACACCGATGCACTTCTACGCGCCACAGTTGTATTCGAATTAAATTAAAGAGAAAACGGATTCAATTTGTCAGAAAGTTGCTTTTGCGAATTCAAGATTACGCGTTTCGATTCCTTTCAAAATTCTTTTTCTGTCTGAATATTACACGCTGAAATATTCCTAAACGTCCGCTAATATTCGTCTTAGAGCAGAGGCATTAGGTCGTTAAAGGATAATAAAATGAAAATTATTCCACTTCTTTTACAAAATTACTCTGATTTGTTTCGAAAAGAAATTGCTCTCTTCTCCTTAAATAGAATTAAGCATAATGAGGCGGTGTGCAATCCTCGGCGCATTAAAATATCTCTCGTTCGATAAAAAAAAATGATGGTTAAAAACAAACGATATTAAGCATGGTTCGTAATCATCGCGTGTTCGTTGTGAAATCCTGGCAAAACGATTTCTGTTACTGCGATCGTCGTTTTCTCCGCGGCCGGAGCGTCGACTACTCCTGTTACGTCTACCATCGCGAACTGTCCACAGCGTTCTGCGATTATGGCTGCGATGGCGACACAGTTTCTGTCGACAGAATACGCGGCCGTGAAAGTTCTCGACGAGTTTTTGCTTTATGCCTTTCCGGTCCTTACCCCGGAAGGCTGCAAACATCGTTTTTAATGACGCGAGTATTTGCAACTTGTACAGATACCATTTCTTTCCCGTGTCACACTCCATTAATCCATTAGTAACGATAATGATAATAAATCTTTGTCGTAGCAACGACGTATACATTAAGAAATTCAGATTTGAGGGAGACAAAAATGAAAAGCGATGAAAATGAGTTTAATTGCTCTGATAAAAGTGAAACGCGATGCAATTTATGAGCTTTACTGTGAACCTTATATAGGAATATTTTGCTATTTAGTTGTATAATTCCACGTTAGTAATTTCTACTGTCTCTTATTGCGTAAGTTTTACGTCTTTCTGATTTTTTTCTTATTTAATATGAGCGATTGGCAATTTTAACACCTTTAAAAATTGAAGTAGGTAGCTTCGATTTAAAAATCATAGACTTTGTGAAAATGAATATTAAATATCACATGTTTTTAAAGTGAATAGAAAGGTTTGATCCACGTTGCACTATCTGAACGTTAAATCTCATTCCTTTATTTCGTTTTTTAAGTTTCTGTTACCATAAATAAAATTTTATTATGTCGCCAACGGAGTTCAAAGGATCAGGCACACTGATCCGTTGAATAGAAATCGTTGGAACAATTACCCCGCCGTTAACCAAGGATCGTTATCATTCGCTTTCGATTTCTGCGTGACTCGCATCGCGAACGATCGCGAGTTCTCCACAGAATGCATTTCAAGGTCGCTACCAGGAAGAAAAATCCGTGTCGCAAAAGGCGTGAAAGAACGACGTGGATTTCGCGGAACATGTTCATCGGGGTCTGGTGTCTTTTTGTTTGCTAGATCGATGGAGTGTATCACTACGTATCTCAAACGGACAGAAAAAGAAAAGAAAATCGACAACAAAATGTGTAATAATTGGAAATAAACATTGATTGAATCAGTGGAGACCATAAAAGAAACTGAAAATTTTTTATATCATCAATGAAAATATGGATTGGACGCTTGATTAGTCCACAAAATATTTGTATTAAATATGATTAAACGAGTTCACGGTTTATTTAAATCGCTGAAAAAATGAACGAACCAGTGCCAGATCTACTAGAAAGACATTGTTGTTGGGAATAGTTTCACTATCGACAGGCTCGCGAGACGCGAAAGCGATCCACCCCACTTTAGAAAAGTTCGGGTTCGCGTGCAGCCTCCGTATTGGCATCGAGAGACGCGTATATAAAAGCTGGCAAGTCCACGCTACTGATTTTACTCGCTGCTAATTCGAAACGCTCGCTATCGGATTTAACCTTTGAAGAAATCTGTCGAACGTATCCTCGAGGATGGATCGCACGGTACGTTTCGTGGGTGACAGGTTCGACGACAGAATCGGATCGAAGTGACCGGTTATTGGGCGCACATTGTGACAGTGGCATTCGCATATCCGAGAGTGAAATTTTTTACTTTCTAACGGGGTAACGCGTCCCGGTTCGATCTGTCGAAACATTTTTAGATTATTACAGCAGAGATGTTTAATCGTTTTGTAGAGCAATATCGCGATCGTCCTGTTACTCTTCGTCGCGACGTCGGCGAGCCTCGCTATATGTCGCAAGGACGATCAAACAACCACCACGACTACAGAAAAGTCCCTCGATCGGGGAAAACGTGTCCAGGATTCGGACGAGAAGACAAACGACACCTTGCAGAGGAACGTTCGAGGGTCAGATTCAGCGAAATCGATAGGAAAACGTTGTGCGTAAACTCAGAGTAGACGAAACTGCTCCTCCAGTTAATCCTAAAGCCTAACACCCTTGAAAATTCATTATCTAAGAACGAAGCATCCCCTTAAGCATTTTAGAAATTAATCGGTTTAAATGATCGCAGTCGATCCTTACAACGAACCCGCGGAGACAACGCAAACGGACGCTGAACACCTAGACGAGTCCCTGCACGCCGAGCATCTGGACGAGGGTAAGGCCTTCTCCGGCGAGTCGTTCCATTCGGACCAAGATGATCCTTCAAAGGAGCAGGTTCTCGGTCACGACGTGCTCGAGGACGTGCACAAGATGGTGACGGTAATAAAGAAGGTGGCGGTACCGTTCCCGGTGGTGAAGAACGTTCCTTACCCGGTCGTCAAGAACATCCCTTACCCCGTCAAGGTTCCGGTACCGCAACCCTATCCGGTGGAGAAACAAATACCATATCCCGTGAAGGTTTTCGTGAAGGTACCGGTGAGGATTCCCAAACCGGTACCAGTGATCAAGGAAGTACCGTATCCGGTCCAGGTACCGGTAGATCGTCCAGTACCGGTCAAGGTTTATATCCCAGAACCGTATCCGGTCGAGAGGAAGGTCCACTATGGGGTGAAGGTGCCTGTGCCGGAACCATTCCCTATCGAACGTAAAATACCGGTACCGATCAAGGTTCCAATACACGTGGCACAACCGTACCCAGTCGATAAGGTGGTCCATTATCCTTTGAAGATCGAAGTGGAACGACCGATCCCAGTGCCTGTACCCAAACCTTATCCCGTACCAGTGGAGAAACCCGTACCTTATCCGGTCGAGAAGCCTGTGCCAGTTCCAGTAAGGATCGAAGTGCCTCGACCGGTGCCGGTACCAGTCGATAAACCGGTTCTCGTCAGGGTGAAGGTCAAGGTACCGGCACCCTATCCAGTCGAGAAACACGTACCGTACGCTGTGGAGAAACCTGTGCCAGTACCCGTGAGGGTGCTGGTCGACAGACCCATACCCGTACAGGTGGCCAAACCTGTGGCTTATCCCGTCGAGAAACCGGTACCTTATCCTATCAAAATACCGGTCGAGATACCGAATCACCACGACGAAGGCGTCATCGAGTCCTCCGCCTACGAGCATCACTCTTGGAAGCGGAGAATCGATAACAGACCTTGGGTAAATTTCTCTTGGGGAGAAAATAAGAAACAGATTTAATTGCAATCTTTTACACATATGGTATTGAATTTTGTTTAAATTTGTTCGTACAATGCCCAGAGAAAGAAGAGATTTTTCTTTTACGAATACATACCTCATAAATAGTTGTTTCGTTAAGTGCAGTTTATCTTTACGACTGACCAAAGAAATTTTCGTTGACTTGTACAGAGACACTTATCCGACATGCAAGTTAAATTTCTTACGTTTGAATTAAAAAAAAGCTTGTGTATTTATTTTTATAGATCGTTAGTTAACGAACAGGACGAAATTAAATGTTCCATTGCGTTTACATGGGTTTACATGCGTTTACTGTTAATAAAGTATCAACATTGTAATTTGTACTATCATATTGATTTATTGTACATTTCCCACAAGGTTTTTTATATCGATTTTATTATTATTACCGATGAATGTTAGAGGCACAATATTTGAAATATTCTCGAAGAAGGAGGTGTATATTTATTCCCAGATTTCAAACGTTGCAGTTTGCTCGATAAGAGCATAAGTAAACCAGCGACGCCATCTTTGACGCGCTGCTACTCACTATAAAATGCATTTCTACTAAAAAGTGCAGGAGAATGCAGCGCGTATCGACGGTATCGTATCTATTTTAGTGCCGGTGCATTCCACGAGAGGTTGTACGATTTAAAAATAAACGAATTTTTGTAGAAATAAAACTGAACCTGCCTGCTAAATTAACTTCCATCGCTGAAAGGGTCTAGCAGAATAAGCATGGTAAAAGTACCCCCAAACCAAATTGAACAGGGTTAAGGTTAATACCACTCGATAGCTGGTTCGAAAAAACTCCTTTTCACAGAGTTTTAACCCTATCTACTACAGGGGTAATTACGGGGTGAAAATCATTTTTTGGTTTAACCTTAATATTTCCCGTTCTGCTCAATTAAAAATTATGAAAAAAATCATAGTTATTCTATAGATTGATGTACATATTCAAGAATTTTTTCAGAATTTTTGGTTGCAAATTCGATTGTCAAAAAATTCGAAAAGTCACTTGATAACTTCGACAAAAAATTGCCGGTTTTCGAATTTTTTGAAAATCGTATTTGCATCCAAAAATTCTGAAAAAATTCTCGAATATGTACATCAATCGATAGAGTAACCATGATTTTTTTCATAATTTTTAATTGAGCAAAACGGGAGATATTAAGGATAAACCAAAAAATGATTTTCATCCCGTAATTACCACTATAGTAGAGATACCGGGTTGAAACTCTGTGAAAAGAAGTATTTTTGAACCATCTATCGAGTGGTATTAACCCCGTTCAATTTGGTTTGGGGACACTTTTACCCTTTTCAATTCGTTTGATCGGCTACCGCGACGTGAAAGCGTAACTCGGTTTTAATTCCGTACGAGTGCAGTAATATTCCGTTATAAAATTGCGAGTCAACCTGGAAACCAGTACTTCCACGAACGTGCAATTTAGATCGACGACGCGAGACCTTTTCTCCGTAAACACAGTGGAATCTAAAAGTCGCCAGTTCCATTCCAGTCACGTATCTTCCTCGCCTCGATGAAATTGCATCGCGGCTGATCGTGCTGTAATTGATTCCCGTAAAACAAACGAATCGCCGCGACGAGCACATAACTTCCAACATTGATCGATGCGTTCTACGTAATCGATGTTAATATCAACTGGCACGGAACGACCTACTTTAAGTATAATTAAATTAAATTATCGTACGTGGTCGATGCAAATTATTAAACTTGATTTAAAAAGTTTACGATGCTTGTTCAAAAAATCATCTGTTGGATGACAATACAAATTTTATTTATGATAGGAAATATTTCAGAATGAGTAAATAAAAATTTATCTATTTAATGAGATAAGTCTGATAAATTTTGTGATTAAATTTTGTCGATCTCTGGTCTGGAATTATTTATCACAGAAAGGCTCCTTTATTATAATAAGTGTCGGGGTTGGCACTTATCACGCATTGAAGTCACTGCAGCGATCTATGAGAATTATAATACGTTTATGGTCTTAGAATATGAAATATTGCAGCATTATTGATCTGAACTTTTCACTATACGACTCACGATTTTCCCCTGTAATTGTACAAGCTTTCAAGAACCCTATTTACATTTTACAGTTAACAAGGTTATTAAATCTGTCTTCTGTCGTCCAGTTTTTTAAACTTCGCGTCACAAATACAACCACATTAACTTCCCAAACACGGTCGAACTCTCCTAGCTGGTTCACTTTCAAGACGAAGTAATCTCTTCTCAATGAAATCGATTCACATTTGTTCGAAATTTGACTTCTTCCACTTGTTTCTCCTTAAACCGTGTCCTCGCATCGCAAATAGAAAATGACGAACTGCGCACAACGGTTTCTAATTCGCCTGACAAAGCGTACGAAGAAAGTAGCATGGTTTAAAATGGCAAAGCTGTCGGAGAGAAGTTTTATACCGGTTTCGGTTTCACTGAACTTGCACGAGAAACTCGACGGGGCGGGCGATCGACGAAGATCAAGAACGAAGGAATAGACGTGAGACGACTGTACGATCAATCTTGTCGAATATAAATTCAACGCTGCGGAATCGCAGGGGACAATCGGTCATTGTTTACGAAAAGGGTTCGAAGTATTTCGCGGACTAACTGCTCGAGGAAACGCGTCTTCCCGTTGGTACAAGCTTCGTCCAGTTTTACGATTGTCCATAGAAAGTGAACATTCGCTTTCATCTGTCAAACGTACACAGCGTCGCCATTCTGGCGTGCTTTTCATGAGATTAATGAGCCAGAACCCGGTAGCCAATGAACCTGCCTCGTAAATACACGGTAACGCAAGACGTTCCTGATTCTTTTCAGTACTAGAAACTTGTAACAAAATTTTGCGAATGGGAAACTGCGTGTGCCCCACAGTACTCAAGCGTGGAAAATAGAGTAAGAACTAACTTAGGAAAATATATTAATTATACAGTAGCTTGTTTCGTACAGACAAACCCAATCATCGGGGTGAAAATCGTAGAAGGAATTTTTTATTTAGCAGGATAACAGTTTCCAATTCGTAGTCTAACTAAAAATAAAAAATATCTTTGCTATTCTTTTCAGAAGTAAACAGAAACATTTCCACCACTCAGTGTTGGTTATTAACATAAGTTTGGCATCGATCGTCCGATTTTTCAGAGTTCGAGAAATAGATTGTATACACACCCAGTTGTTGGGAGATAAATTTGTCACTTTGAGCGAACGGAAGCCATAAGTTCTTCCGCGACGATAATTCGGTCGCTGTACGATTCTCGAAATTTCTTTTCTCGGCGCGCACAACCGTTTTACGAGCACCAATAACGAATGCCTGCACGTTCAGCGTCGCGGCGTCGCTTCCGCGGTGTGTCAGGCTCCGGTTAACTAATTTACACGGAAGACAATGGCCGCTTGACCGTGGATAATTGTCGCGAAGGAGTTAACGCGAGCCTATAAAGGTGCAAAAGCTGGTCGAACGGGCGAAAGTCGTTCACGGTATATAAATAATACTGGAACTCCGTTCCGTTTGGATTCAGTGCACCTTGATCCATCGACTCGGCTGGAAACGTCTCGTCATGGTTGGTAGCCTGGCCTTTTTAAACCCTTCTCGTAATGAATTTTAATCTTCATCGCGAGAGATACAATTCTTGACGAATTTTTTCTCGAATAAAGTTATTACAATTTGAATTAATTCCTCGAAATCCTTCCCGAACTTCTGCTAACTTTTCTGTCGTACTCTTTTCACGAGTAGCAAAGCGTCGTCGTCGCGATCCTGTGCCTGTCGATAGCTCTGACGTGTTCGGCCACTCGAAAAGAGGACTTGGAGAGGGCCGCGGAGTTGGCGGTGGAGAAGGCAGCCGAAAGGGCCGCTGAAAGGGCAGTGGAGAAAGCCCTGGAGAGCGGGAACACTACCACGGAGTCGAAAACCGTGAAAGACACCCACACGAGCATCAGGAAGACACCGTACTACGAAGAATCCACTACCTCCGAAGAATTCAGAGGCAAGAACGAGTCTCTTCGACACTCCTGCGAGGAAGACAAAGAGGACACGCGGGATGACACCGAAGACTGGACGAAGTTCTCGAGGAGACTCAAGTCGAGTCCTTTCGAGGGCTGGTCCAGCCGAATGGATTGGAAGAGATTCCCCAGAAGCGAATGGGCTCCCGAGGCCTCTCCGTGGGTGAAGCCCAAAGTGATAACGATAGAGAAGAAGGTTCCGGTGCCGGTTACCGTCGAGAATAAGGTGCCCTATCCTCTGTACAAACCCGTCCCCTACGAGGTGAAGGTCCCGGTGCCCCAACCGTACACGGTGGAGAAGAAGGTACCGTTTCCCGTGAAGGTGTTCGTGAACGTACCGGTCGAGGTGCCGGAGCCCTACATCGTGGAGAAGAAAGTGCCGTACGAGGTGAAGGTCGATCGACCGGTACCGTACAAAGTCGAGGTTCCCGTCCCGCAACCGTACACCGTCGAGAAAAAGATACCGGTGGAGGTGAAGGTGGCGGTGCCGCAGCCATACCTGGTCGATAAGGCAGCACCCTACGAGGTGAAGGTGCCCGTCAAAGTCCCGGAACCGTACGAGGTGGAGAAGAAGGTGCCTGTGCCGGTTAAGGTCCTCATCGATCGACCTTATCCAGTGCCAGTGCCCAAACCGTACCCCGTGCTCGTCGCCAAACCTTACCCAGTACACGTGGCCAAACCTTATCCCGTCAAGGTCAAGGTGCCGGTCGATGCACCTTACCCGGTGCCCGTAGAGAGCCCCGTACCCGTTCCAGTCAAAGTCCCAGCCCCCGAACCCTACGTCGTGGAGAAACCTGTCCAGGTGGAAGTGAAGAAACCCTACGCCGTGCCGGTCAAAGTGCCGGTGGACAGGCCCTACGAGGTGTACGTGTCGAAACCGGTACCCGTCCCGGTGGAGAAACCTTTTCCCTATTGGGTGCAGGTGCCGGTACCGGTGAACTCTGACTGGAACGGAGGCGGAGGTCACGGGTTCCACGACAGAGACGGCTCCGCCGGGAAAGAAAAGCGATCGGGAACCGGTAACGGATCCACGAGGCCCGGTAGACCTCGCAGAAGGTTTCGTCACTGAGTCTTCTTGCATCGACAGAGACAATTTTCGATTGTGTTTAGAGTTTGTTTTTATTTATTTTTAACGACGTGGAATGTTTAAGATGAGGTTTCTTTTTGTGACACTCCGGCGCGGGTAGAGTAGTGGAGAACAGGAGGTGCCAGAGTCTTGATAACGAAATTTCAAATAATTGGATATTATTTGATTATTTTTGTAGCCTCGTAGAAATTCTGTGCACCGTTATTCGGCATAGATCACGAACTTTGAACTACTTTTGTTACCTAATAATCGTAAGCGTAGTGTTAGTTATTTGAAACAAGAACGATTTGGTATAACGATCGAATTAATTTAACGATCAGACTTATTTTACTTTCTCTTGCTCCTATTAGTGTACAAGATGAACTTGATAATGGTGTATTATTTGGTTTCATCGAGCGAACACGATATATTTCCACAGAAATGTTCCTTCGTGTTAAAGACTTCTCTTTTGCATTCTTCCTGAAGCACATTATTTATCAACGTTCGGGATACTAAATATTAATTAAGCTTCACATTCTTAATTTAGAAGAGTACGAATAGTCGGCATTACTTTCGTTTTAGTTACTCATAGTTTCATGGTAAATATAAATTCTGTTTTCTCTTATCTCTGCTACATCTTATTACTTGACGAACATGTTAGATTACAATTTTCTACATTCTATTTAATTAATGATTTTCTTCTCTGATGTTATTTCTTTGGATACAAAAAAATGTCATGATAACTTTATCGTGCTCGGTCGATAGATCAAACAGTACGCGCAATTTTCTTTAATCGCTTCAACTTTCTAAACGCGTATTCGAAATCTTCGCGATGCGTCTCGTAGCCTCATGATCGAATCTCATCTATAATTCTATCAATTTATTCACACTGTGAAAATTGCTAAATTGTATCGTATAGATCGAACTATTACAGTAATATTGCAACAGAAACTATACAGAAAGTCGATTGCATGAATGTTAACATCAGAATGACTATTTTGCAACCTAATCCTAAGTATGTCTGTAGAAGGTTGTATCGATGATAATTCTTATGGACAGAAATAGATGTTTTCTATTCGATGGAAATAAAAATGTAGGGTCGTACAGGAGCGTATGTTTTCAACCTGTCTGGAATGTCCTTCGTATTTATTAACTCCCGCATGGCAAATAACCGTTCGAGCGACTATCGCGTGGATTTCTCACGAGCTCGTATGCATAAACCTTTGATCGGCCTTTTTTCTCGAGAAATTCTTCGCGAGGAAGTGCTCTGCCGCATCCCATTACCATCGCGATCGCGAATTCTTCACGCGTTCCGTTGCGTACTCGATGGAATACGAAATGCTGCGGTAAAATCGAGCAAACTCTGGCTATTGCCTTTCGCTGATCGTGAGAGGAGCAACGAGTCTCGCGGAAAAGAGATTATCCGTCGATCACGTATCGTAAACACTCATTTAATTGCATTCATAACAGCCAGATACTCTTCTTCCGGTCACTGGCGCGTCCAGCAGGAAGGTGAAAGGGCTTCTAATTATTCGAAATTTATTATGGTCGTAAATTTTTCACGTTACAAAAGATTGTAATAGTTGCAGATATAACTGTAACAATTATATCATTTTCGCTCTGTTTCCCTATAAATAAAAATCTTACAGCTGCATTTCGAGTTGGTAGCTACGCAACAATAAATCCAACCATACCTTGATGCCTTAATATTTTTAAAAAGTAAATATTAAATACAGGTTTGTAAAGTGATGTATGAATTGGTACGCACTGGCCCTAACGCTGAATTCCTACAACGCGGGTTAACAATTTTAGAGGCTCGGAATTTCTATCCTCTTTTTATCCTGGCATTCCTTGGTTCAATAATTTATGGAACTTGCACGTTTTAATCGAAACTCGATGGTCTTGAAGTTTCTAGTTTCCTCTCAATACCGATTGAAGTATCGGAAAGACACGGGAACGTTGGACTTTGACAGGATGATTGCCACTAAATACGCTCTCACCGTTGATAATACTGCTTTCCCACGTTCGATACTAGTAATAAATTTCTTCTGTAATAGTGGTCGAAACGAAACGCTGGATTCTTGACAGGAATTCCAATCTTTACAAAGCAATCAGCTAGAGCAGTTTCACTTGATTTACCGAGCCTAGGTGCATTCCTCGGTCTCTTCCGCTGTTACACTTTCATAATCGGGAGCCTAATTTGAACTAAACTTGCGATTCAATCTCATAAATACGCGGTTCCTGATCGTGGAGCTTTTTATGATATCCTTACAATATCCATGATTACGTATAACGCGTGTTAAATCATGCTTGTTCGGTTACTCGAAACCACGTTTCCGCCTTTTCGATACTTGTTGCTTTTACAAAGCGACATAATCCTCGAACAGGAGAGTGGAATGTTTGTCAAACTATCACTTTATTAAATTTTAATTAGCAACTAGCAAGTTTTGTAATTCTCATTTTCCTCGAAATAAATTTAGCAACAAAACTGTCCTGGTAAAACAAAATTGACATGGTTCGGGCACGGTTAGTATCCGAGGTTGGCATAATTTCTCTCATACGTAAACGATTACAATTCGGAGCAATGAGTTGGCATCGTGGACAATTTAATTCTCCACGGGGCTATTATTAAATAAACATTTTCAATGATTGGAACGTGTTTCGCGCACGCGGAAACGCGACTCGAAGCAAACGCGTTATTAACGATCGTCGACGCGTAGCGATAGATCTACAAGGATCTACTCGATTGATCTCGAGTCTCGCGTGGATTTCATCCGTAGCTACCAACACGTCTGATTGTATATCCAGCTGGCCCCCCTCCTCCTGCTAGGTTCTCCCTCTCTGGTCGGTTTTCATTTTCTGCTACCCTCCCACCAGGGTCTCTTCCTTCCTCTAGCTCTCTTCGTCCGACCAAACGACCTCGTCGCGGACGAGAGAACTCGGGCCCCACGGGACTGGAAACGTCGCAGCCGCGCACGCGTCTTTCCGTGGGGACCGGATACGGAGGGGGCCCAGTAGTCCCGCCGAGAAACTTTGAAATATGGAAGGAGCCGGAGCAAGAGAGAGAGGAACCCCGAGCCCCCTATACGGGGCCCCTGGCTGGTTAGAGCGGAGAGGTTTGGGGAGTTGCAAATACAAATTCACGAAACCCCAGTGGCGTAAGACTCGTGACGTTTTCGGTTCGATCCGAACGTTTGGCACGATTCCAAATTAGTGATCCATGTCAATACGATCTACGAGATGCAACGAGTATGGCGTCTGTATCCTATTTTGGTGATTTCTTCAACCCACTTGTACCATTAGTATAAATCACTGAAATATTTGTATTTGGGTTGAATAAAAATAAATTGGGGATTCCTTCACAGTTGCAATTCATCGTAGTATTAAATTTTATAATGACTTTATACGATTTGTCACACTAAGGCGACCTTATTGTAAAATATATGATATTGTGATGGATCTGTTAGCATGAAATTCAGATCCACGAACATAGATCTTCCCCATGACACGTTCGTTTTCCTTTCTACGGTGTCATTCTGACCTTGCATGTTGTTTTTCAGCTATTTTACGGTTAGACCACACGATCAATCACAGTCATGGCATTGCGTCGCACTTACGTTATCCAATTTTGTTAAGGTGCGGTTGATAGATCAATTAGGCTACCGTGCTTGGTTCATGGTACACCAGAAATACCAAGCGGTCAAAAGTCACGAGTAAATTTGCACTATAATAACACTCTTACTTTTCTGTTTACTACTTGATAGTAAATGGTAAGAAGTGTTAATAGGCAATAATCTTACTTTTATATTGCATCGATTCGAACTAGCAGTGAGTGAAAGTTTCGTTTCATTTCAACCTGCAGAATCATCCCCTCAAGGGATAACGATTAATAACCAATTATAGTTGACATATTTATTAGAGCTATTAAAATGAAATCGTATTGCACGAAGTACCTTACTCGATAGGCAATTTACGATACGATTTAAATTTCGTATCCGTAATCTGTAACTCGATAATTATACGAAAGTTCATTTTGAAGAGAGGCGTTGGAAAATTTAAGCCTCCGTTCTCCATATTAATTTTCCCCGTTTAACGCCCGTCCTCGAGGCCCTAACTTTCTTATTTTTAACCACTTTTTCGCGTTTCTGATGCACCGCGCGGACGCCTCTTCCGCGGCGAGCGTTCCTTTCACCCTGGAAGAGGATTCAGGCCTACGCCAGTGCGCTCGGTTATGGAACCAGCGTCGCGGCCACCTAGGATTTAGAAAAATTCTATAACGTCGCGCGCGTCGAACGGGCGACCGCTCGCGCGCCAGACGCGCGTGTTTCACTTTTCCGCGGAACTTACACGCAAGGGGGGCTCGCTCGCTCGCGATGCGCGTCGGGGGAAAGCGGACTATAAAGACGGTGGAGTCTTGGGGGGAAGTATCCAGTAAAGTCTGGACTTCGACCAGTTATCGAAGTGCCTCCGAGACATGAAAATTTTGGTGAGTACACGGAACGTCTATCCTCCGTAGACCGAGAACTCTGTACAACGTAGAAATCCCGAACTACTCTATTTCTATACTTTATATATTCTGATATCTCGACGTTTGCCTATTCAGAACAGTCAAAGTTATTGCCGTTGTCTCGTAAGAAAGAACTTCGAGCTAGTTTTCCCCAATCGACCCTACTGATTGCAGCTGCTGACGATATTTCTGGGCCTGCTGGCCACGGCGATCAGCAAGGAGGAGAAGAAAAAGGACGCCGAGCCTCAGGAGTCCAACGTAGAGAAGAAACAAGACAAACGGGGACTCAGTCATCTCGAAGGTGGCTACGATGGCGGCGACTACGGCGGAGGACACGAGCTATCCGGAGGAGACGGTGGCGGTTACTCGTCCGGTTATGGCGGCGGATACTCTGATTACGGGGGTGGTTACGGAGGTGGTTACGGAGGCGGTGGCGGCGGCGGCGGCGGCGGCGGCGGCTACGACGAGGGTAGCAAAGTAAAAGAGATCACAATCGTGAAGAGCGTCAAGGTCCCGTACCCGGTCGAGAAGAAGGTCCACTACCCCGTGGAGAAGCAAGTACTCTACCCCGTTAAGGTACCGGTACCACAGCCCTACCCTGTCGAGAAGAAGGTACCGGTCCCGGTGAAGGTTCTCGTCAAAGTTCCCGTGCACATACCCCAGCCCTATCCGGTGGAGAAGAAAGTGCCGTATCCGGTCCAGGTCCCGGTAGAGAGGCCGGTGCCCTACAAGGTCTACATCCCTCAGCCCTACCCGGTGGAGAAGAACGTCCCGTACCCGGTCAAGGTACCGGTACCACAACCGTACCCGGTCGAGAAGCCTGTCCCGTACCCGGTGAAGGTCATCGAACACGTGCCGCAACCGTTCCCAGTCGACAAACCGGTGCCCTATCCGGTGAACGTGCCCATCGACCGACCGTACCCGGTCCACGTACCCAAACCGTACCCGGTCCCCGTCGAGAAGCATGTTCCAGTGCCAGTCGTGAAGACGGTACCCTACCCGGTCAAGGTTCACGTCGACAGACCAGTAGGAGTGCCCGTCGAGAAACCGGTGCCCTACGAAGTCAAGGTGCCCGTTCCTGCGCCGTACCCCGTCGAGAAGCCCGTTGCTGTACCGGTGGAGAAACCAGTGCCCTACGCGGTCAAGGTACCCGTCGAGCGACCCGTGCCCGTCGAAGTCTCGAAGCCCGTGGCTGTGCCTGTGGCCAAACCCGTGCCCTACCCGGTTAAGGTACCGGTCGCCGTATCCGTCCACGGTTACGGCGGTGGTTCCGGCGGAGGAGGTTACGGCGGTGGTTCCGGCGGAGGAGGTTACGGCGGTGGCTACGGCGGAGGATACGGCGGAGGCTCCGAGGGCGACTACGAGTCCAGTTACGGAGGTCACTACTAAAGGGCTTCCAGAGGTCGTCAGCCAAGCCTGACGGCGATCTGATTGTGCCGCGCGTCGCGTTGCTTTACCATCCCCGAGGGTTCGACGACGCGACCAAGGGGGATGTATATTTATTGCATAATCGGTCCTTTCAGAGCATATCGCTGGACCCGGAACCGGCCGTAGGAAATTCTTTGTACAGCGGGGGGCGGCAGTTATTTAGCGCGGCCGGTTCTTCCGTCAGCGAGTTAGACGGGGCGGAGTTGAGCAAATTCTATTCGCGAAGAATCCCATACGTTGCTCGCGAATAGAATTTGCTCGACTCTATTAGACGGTAGAGTTTCGATATAACTTTTTGATACCTGAGTACCTAAGAATACACATTTGTATACACGATGCATCGTACAAAGATTCTGTATTGTTCGGCGATCGTGAGCGACTCGATCGTCGGTGGCGCGACCAACGCCTCTGTACCGTGTCTTTCGCTTCTTTCTAATAAAACCAAAGAGCAAAATCGAGGATTTGTCAGTACCTTGGTATCCCCGACGCGTCGATCCTGTTCCATTATCGTAGCGTTGCGGGCGTTTTCACCGATTCGCTGGTTTCCGGAATCGTATCAAGGCCGCGATCGTGAGTTTTTCGTGGGTTTCGTAACGTCGAATTGCGCCGACGAACGCGGAACACGGCGATAACATCTTCGATTCCACTTTCCACGATGCGCGTAACGCAACGTTTCCCGGAAAAGTTGGAAAGCAACGAAAGCCCGCGAACGATTGTTTCGTCCTGCGAATCCGTTAACGCGGAAGCGGCCTGGTGTAATTAGCGCAACGAAAAAAACTGACCGGCAATTAGTTGGTCAGAGTCGAAGAAAGGGAAACTTTCATTCACCCGTCGTAGATAACGAACGAATCGACGATCGCGTAACGCTTCCAATTCGATGGAATCGCGTTACCTGATACATTTGACGTTCGATCTTAAACGCTCGCACGTGCGCCTCCATCGTGCACAGAGAAAGCTTCTTTCTCTCGGGATCGCGGATGATCCAATCACGAGTAGGCGTAGAATCGGGCATATCACCGGTGAAATCGTTTGTCGTGATCGCAACAGGTGGAGGAATTAAATACGCTCGTCGAATTGTGGGTCGAAGAAACTGCACACGGTAGTTGGCAATTTTTTTTATTTTATTTTTCAACCTTCCTTGTCCATTGGAAATTATATAACGCGCTGGAACGTATCGTTTCACGTTGCAGCGAAATAATTCATGATTTAGGAAGTGGTGGGTTACAAATATGGTGGCTAAATTGCTGATTATCAGTTTAGCTTATTCGAACGGTGTGAAACTGTATGCAATGGCGTTCGTTAAAGGTTGTCGATGAGTTTAAATCCATGGAAGAATTTTGCAAAACCTCATTACTCTTTTATCAACCTTTAAAGTCCGGGTGATTGTTTCGTCGTGCATTGTATTTATCTTCGAACGAAGACGGTATTTCACCCGACAAATGTCACGCTTTCGGTGAACTTTAGAATCTTCCTTCATGGAAGAATAGAAAACAGCATTACTCACCGTATGTACGGGATGTTCGCTGGAACGTGGTACTTGGAGCCGGGGTCAAAGTCGTCCTCCGACCTCAAAACGGGTGGCTTGATCCCGGCATATTGCTCCATGAGACGATGCCAATGGCAATTATAGTCTTCCCTGTTGATGTAACCGCGAAAAACGTCCCATCTCCATGTATCCAACGCGATGCTGAAAGGCAGCATCACCAGAGTGTCCATCGCCAGGGAAAACAGGTAGTTAATGTCCGCTGTCGATTCGTCGATGTATTTGTTGCCCAGTCCCAGAGTCTGTAGATGATGTGGGGTCGCGATACTAAGACCCACGGCTTGACCCACGGCTTCGTGGAAACCTGTGTCAACGCAATTGTTACTCATCGATCATTGTCGGTGACAAAGTTTGCGAGATTAAATTCCGCGTCGGTGAAAGTCGTGATTTTTGCGAATAAACGTGAGGTCGTTTGATATCCAAAGTGTATTCGCGGAGGGAAGTACAGTACTCACTTTGTCTTAAATTAAAGATAGAGACTTTAATGTCTCGGGGTTCATTCGATCATAGTAATAAACTTATTTTCACCGTTTCTAATATTGTAATATTTTTATTTTTCAGACGCTGTAATCATTGGGGAAAGTGGCTGGCAATTAATCGGATCGATTCTTGGCCTATCGGATTTACGAAACCAACGTTTGAACTATCTTTCCGCCACAGGGCCGAACGGTAACGTAACACTAATGCTGCTACGAAACGAAATCGATCAGGATACAGTCTAAACTTTTGCAGGTCCGTGACAGCTTGATTCATAAGTCAGATAATTGGTCTGCCTTTCAAATTGATTGCGAGCGAGTTTAGCAGGCAGTTGCATATTCATGTCTACAAAAGGAATGTTATTATACGCCTGGAGTCGAATACGTACTGAAGAACCGGAAAGATTATCACTGGATGGGATTCAGATTCATCGACCAGACCTTTTATTAGAAGCGATTATTTTACCGTTGGTTAGGGTTTTATATTGTGCGATATAAATTAATCGATTTATACTTTACGAGGGGAAATACAGATTTCTCTCGTTTCTTTATTAGTCCTTGCAGTTTACTGCTTCGATCAACACGTATTATTTAACGATCCAAATATAAAAATTTTTGCAACTCGCACCGATACGCGAAATCATCAACTTGGAACCGAAGTCATTATCGTTCCTTTCTCTTTCTTCTATTTCGTAACTTTAAAATCACACAACTTCTGTCAATGTGCGGTGGAAAAAAACTTACAAACACGCGGAAACGTACACATAAATACGCGTGAATTATGTCGGAATCGTTTTATAAAATTTTGTAAGTTCTATCCAGGCTTCCTTAACGTTCTACCTTGGGAATTGACATTTTCATCCCCTCGTGAAGTCAGATTGATCTAATTTTTGTTTGTATTCCCATCAAAAATCGAAACGTAGTTGTTGCTAAGTATTCCAACAGAATTTACAATTATTTCAGCCTAGATAGCCAACGATCGTTCATGTATTTTAGTTATCGAGAAGGAGTGAAATTATTTGATGAGATTGTTAAAAATTTGAACATCCACGGTCCCATTTTTCGTTTCTCCTCATCGTGGAGTATCGTTACGGAGCAAAATGTCGATTTCAGGTTTTACGGGGTCCCGTGAATCGAGCAAAGCAAGGTCGGAGGCATCGATGGAGATTTGTTTTCATAGTGCGATTCTAACGGGGCGAACGACCGGCCGTAGGAACGGTGAAAGCGCGATTATACCATAATAAAAATATTTTAACGATCTCCTGTACGGACTGTGGAGAGTACTCGCACATCCACTCGGACAACGCGCGCTCATGCTCGCGCAAATCCACGTTGACCGTATCGCGCTCGCTCTCGCTTTCGCGTTATTACTCGTAAAAGTCCCGGCGTGGACCGCCTACCGGAAGTCGAACGGCCCGCTTACGTAACCAACGCGTGTCGTCCATCGGTGCCATCGCTTCTTCGTTTCTTTTCCGTGGCGGAATCGTAGCGACGCTTTGCAATTCGATTCTTGCAAATACAAAGTGTTTCCTTCTCGAGGAAACTGCCATTGTGACTTTTTATTTCGCTCGCGCTCTATTTACGGACGATCATTGGTCTATCGATTCGAGGTAAACGACGTTGAAGAACTTAGTATACTAAAAATCGAAACTCGATTGATTTCATTTACGCAACTGTAAATGAAACTATCTAGAACGTATAGCAATACAAATTGGTTCGCATCGTTCACGATTGCAGCCATTGAGCATATATTTAGACTTCTCATTCGTTATCTTCAGTTTAATTTCAGTTAAATTTATTTAATAATGTTACTTCCAAAGGTACTCCAAAACGGTGGTACCAAGTAGCTCTGTCATTTTGTGAAACTTTGTAAATCTATTGTGACACGAATCTTGTGTCTTTTTCATTTTTAGAGCCATGGCAGAATAACTCAGAATATTGGTGTGTATTTTTTTATATTTTTAACATAGTGACTTTCTACTACGAAGCTGAAACAAATTCCGAATAGTTCTAAACAGAATGATCATCTTTCAGAAAATTTCATGGATTTGGTCCAGCAGTTAACCAGACGAGTTGAAGAACGTATGGTAGTAAGGAAAACGAAAATGTGCGTTTGAACGAGAAATAGTGTTTGATTAGCGTACCTGGATTGGCACCGTCCCTGAATTCGCGAGGAAGTCCGCTGTATCGCAAGAAATACTGAATGTGTGCCATCTCGTGGTGCACCGTGATCAAGTCCTTCATGGTGACCTTGGTACACATCTTGATTCTGCTCGCGCGGCACAAACCAATTAAGACGAAGATCAGAAAAGCCGATTGCCTCTCGATTGTTCGCGAACAGTTTAACGAGAGGAATTCCATTGAATTACCTGTAATCCAAGCGATTGCAAAAGTCCCATGCGGAGGCTTGGCAAATCAGAGGCCGGTCCCCGGGGTCGACGATTATGCTACCGCTCCAGAATTCTGGCGGCATGGCGCTCAGGTTCAAGGACAAGAAAAATTCCTCCGCGATTCGGAACATCTCTATCGGCGTGTAACCCTGAGAAATGGCAATGAAAAGAATAATTCTAATATACTGTGCAAGTTTTCGATTCTACAAGACTACGGAATTTTTGGGGACCGACGACGGTATGTTAAATTAATAATTCTCTGTTGGTAGTCGTCAAAGCTCGTTAAGCTAGGCGTCAAATGCTTCGCAAAAGGTAATTTACCGGGTAAGAAAGATATTTCGAACAGATCGACTTTCGAGTTGTCATTTCTGTGATTTAATATCCCCGAGAGATCAAAGTTCCGCAACGCCCGCAATAAATTCCGCTCACAATGGACAATGAAGAGAAAGAAAAATATCGCGTTGGAAATAGGCGAGCGAAACACTCCAGAATTTCTCGCGTCTTCGCTTACTTCACCGTTACTTTCGAATAATAACTTAACATAACGCGTTACTTTCGATTCCATTTGGGAAACAATAGGTCCGTCGCGCTGAATTCATTATGCTATCGAAGTTAATTCCCTTGACAAGAATTATGTAACTTTTTACCATGGCTTGCATTTCCTGAGTAACGTCCAAGTAAGTTTTTCCGGGGTACGGTAGCGTGATGTCGATGATGTTGCTCCAAGATTGGGCCCAAATGTTACCTATCGAGTTCAAACATCGTTAACGAACCCCTTGGAAAGAGTTAATTTCTCACGTCAAGTTTAATTTGCAACTTTGGCTTCGTACCAAGTATGTGAGCCGGAAGGGGAGCATGAGCGCCGATTTTTTCCGGTCCGTACAAGTCCCTCAATTTCCTCCTCACGTAAGCGTGCAGTTCCTCGTAGAGTGGTCGCACCATTTCCCAAACCCCTTCGATATCCTGCTGCAGATTAGGTGACTCGTATGGGAACATCCAATATTCGGCAGCGTCGGTGAAGTCTGCACAAAGAGATAATTATTTCAATTATTTTCACTAAACGTTCAGTACGTAACATATGTATACATTCTTAAATCTTTGGTCAATATTAGCGTACAAATGGTAGCACATGATAGTGATTTCTCACTGAAGATATATTTATTTATCAAAGACCTCTGGGTAAAAAATATTTATGAAAATTGTAGGAAGGCTACTGTTTCTTGTCTTGGTTCACTGGGGACTCAACGTGGTCCCGATTTACAGTACTTCAAATTCTGTAATAAAAGTTATTTTCTGCTTATCACTGCACTCAGACCCATCACCAGAGGTCTTCGATGCTAAGCTTTCGATCAAAGGGAAGGTTTAAGCTTTATATCATGACCTACTCGATTTCCCATCATCATTCAACCTACTGTTCAATCTCGCAGCCTCGTTGTTCAAGGTAACAAGCTGCTGATAAAGGTCTTTGATCCTCATTCCACTGCGTCTCCTCCACTCCGTCCATACGTACTGTAACTCGTCCCAGTTCCTGCTCCTAGCCATGATCTGCGATATATCTGCAAAAGGAACATCATTTCTGAACGAACGAGACCAATTTTCTGTCGGTCGAGGACCGGTCAGCAGTTTCACTTGGGACGGGACACGCGCTCGAGCTGCTTTCACGATAATCGCGCGATCAATTTGTCTCAGATGGTTTCTCGCGACACGCGTGTGATCTAAGCTCGAATGGAAAGCGAGAGTTACCGCAGCGATTACGGCTGCATCGATCGCTCTAAATTGACCGCGCCAAACGGCTGGAAGCGTTTCTTGTTTCAATATCGACGTCTCCCGAGAGGAAGGCCCCAGTCCCGCGTCCTCTTTTTCCTTCCTCGGTTCATTACGTTCGAAGCAATGAAATCGCGTTACGTGGTCGTCCTTCTGTCGGCGACGATCCGTGACAGACACTCTTCATGGACGCGGGAAACGCGTTTTCCAGCTGGGAAATTCTGAGATTTTGGTCGAAAGGATCTGTTCAGTTTTGGAGGTAAACAAAATTCTTTCCCCTTTTTGCGGTATATTTTTGCTTAATTTATGAATTGATATTTTGCAAACTCATCGTGATTCGTAACGTTCCCTTATCCTGTGAATCAGAATCCACTCAATATCTGCAAAAGTTTCGGTTGTCTTGAATTTTCTATCTTGGATTTAATTTAAAAGAACTTGAAAGTGACTCTACACTAAGTAATAAAACGTTGACATGAAATGTTTTAGAAACGCATTAGAAGCTCGAGAAATCATCGTTGGGTTAAGCGACCGATTACGCGTTACTCGATGGCAATGTGTTACGCGTTCGCGTTGTTACAGATGAGATCTGTGGCGAGCAAACGTACCATAAACCGTACATGACTGTTCGAAAGACCATAAACTTCCGTGTTGCCGCGGCGGTGCATGATCTTTCGGTGTTGATTGCGCTCGTGCGGTTTACGATCGTCGTTTAGGCGTTCGAAAAGCAACGCGCTCGACTGCGTAATGGCGACGTAGCCGGTTAGTTTCTGATTTGTTCGAGCATTCGCCGGTGATTAGCGTCCGAGGAGGAATTTTACTTGGAATTGATACATCGTAGGACTTAACTTTCGCACCAACCATCTCGTTGTTGACCAAATTAAAGAACAGAGATATCTAAGGTTTAAGTCAGCTCAAGAGAAACGTGTGGGAATATCAAATTTCTATTCTTCGACGTTGGTTGGTTTGGCGTCCCAAAATCCACGGTGCAATTAAAGCGGCGGCAATTCATCGCGAAACAAAAGAGAAAACAACGTAACGTGGAAAGAGGGGGGAAGGGTGTCTGGACAGAGAGTAGCCATGGTAAACTAATTAACGATGAATTTTCATGAACGCGTACCAAACGCAGTCGGTGAAATATTCAACGGTTCGATCGCGCTTTTACGATTAGAGAGGCACTTTCTTGCGCGTAATACTTAAACGCGTTCCGTAGGCAATTTCGCCGCCCGGGAACCGTGAAAATCGGTATCGCGTTTTATTTCTCGTTAAGGTGGTGGACATACACGCGTTATTCATTACCTGGATACAGGCGCAGACCGCACCGGAAGGGATCGTTGTACGCGCAAATACTGGCACCGTTGTACACCGCCAGCATGTCGTTGATCACACGATTATACTGAAAAATAAAACGATCGGTCGACGTTACCGCGAACGTTTTCTCGCCGTGCAAAAAAATGATCGCGGCTCGTTGTTTCCTGCACCCTCGTTTTCTTTTTCTTTCTCTCGTACGGTTTCCGTAAGCATTTGTTGCACTCTCGCTTATTACGTGTAGGAAGGAAATCTATTCTCGAACGTTTACTTCCTACTTTGTTTCACCTTCTCGGATATTCGAAACAAATCGGTTGCGTCGAAAGCGAGACGGAAATGCCGATTTGAATAATTACTCGTTCTCGGTATCCCTTATCGATATTCTTCGCTGATTTTAACCGTAATCTAACGCGAATGATAGTTTTGCTCGAGATTCGGTTTCGATTTCTTTTCTTGTTCCAAGCGTCGGTCGCTTTCTGATTTTTCTGCGTTAATTGAACTCTGTACGAGCAATTTTCTCGCACAGTTGCATCGATTACATTTATTTTGCTTACGGTACCGTCGACGAGAGAGAGGAAAATGTGTTTTCTAAAGCTTACCCTGTCCAGCTGATCCGGTGGAAGGGCCGATGGTCCGACCACGGCCAAATACCTGAGGCGACGCTCGATCGTAGGATCTCTGATATTATTTTTATCGATCTTCGATATCAAGAACCAGGCCTGGTTCTGAAAATCCGCGTATGTTCGTTGCGCTTCCAACTATAATCAAACATGGAATCGTTAAGGGAGCTTAAAAAAAATTATTCAAAAATAAAACAGTGACGTATCGCGCAGACCAGAAAGAGATTTGCCTCGATCTATTTACTGGATAGCTAAAACAGTGATTTCGTTGCGTACAGGTTGGACACTCTATGAATGACAAGTACATAGCAATCGTCGTTCGAGCGGAACTGGTTCGAAGCGCAAATCACCGAGAAACTAGTTTACCGTTAGAGATAAACACCTGCTATCTCCACCCTTTCCTAGATTACCGATAAAAGACCCGTCGGGGAAAAAGGAAAACCAGCATACTCGACGACGAGAAATTTTCCTTTTTAATGAAAGGACGACGTAGAAGAGGAAAGAAAAGTCGAACGCTTTTTCAATTCACCTCGAGGCAATGGTAGTTCGCGAACGCAAAATTCTCGTAATTGGCAGTCAGAGATTCGCAAAGGGAACGAAAAGAAGGGGGCCACCGGTGACCGACGATTGTCATTAGCATCACGCGAGCTCGTGGCAGCGGATTTCGCGTCGAAGGCTGCGGATTTCTGTTCCCGTCGTTCGGCTGGATGACGGCGTCGTTGCGAAACCGTTCGAGACGTCGTCACAATGGCTGGGAACCGTTCCCGCGGAGGTGTTCGGCCCCTCGACGGACAATAAAGGACGCCCCGCGCTACGGTGAAATCCCCGTGCACGCGAAAACAGCAGATTCCCCCGCGTCCCGGTGGAAGCGCGACGACGTTCGACGGTCTCTCACGGGCCGATTCGTAGAGGAGGTCGAGGTCTTCAGCGGCAGTTCCATCGAGATACCGTCCAATGATCGCTGCACGTATGTAAACGTGGATCATCGATTCCCAACGGGGGAGGCGGAAACGATCAACAAAATTTGAATGCTTCGGCTGCAACGAAGCTGCAAGCTTGGAACACACGACCGTTGGAACGAATTTTTGTTTCGAATTGGAAAAATGAGAAAAAACCAACGACTCGAATGCAGTCGAAATTGACACAGTCAGTTTAACTGTACTTGAAAGTACCGTTCGCATAATTTGGAAAGGAAAATAGAACGATAAGAGAGCATCTGTGGGCCCGCTTTTTCGGCTATCGAAATCCATGCGGGCATTTCGGACACGAGTTCACCTCGAAACGCTATTGTACCCAGTTACAGGAGTTTCGAAAGTGTCGATGAAGAGTATAATATCGAACGCTAAACATGCATTTTTCTATGAATCGGAATGAAGAGCAGAACTGAAATTACGATGTTATTGTTATCCAATGTGACAAGGAACTTTTTCACGAGTAATTTAAGGTATAATTATTGTAATTGAAGATTTACCGCTTGTATCTGCGTGTACTCGTTGACGTCCGTTTCGTACGCCCACTGTCCCGCGACGTTTGCGCTGCATCTTTCGGCGCCAAGGAAATCCAGTCTCGCCAAAATATCTTGCAGCTCCGTATCCGTAGCAGGAAATCGTCTACCGAAATTGTCTCGTGAATCGTCCCTCAGCGAGGGTAAATCCAGCTGGCCGGAAATGAGGGAGAACAGAGCGAGGAGGACCCAAGTGGACATGATCTGCAAATAAATTACTGCTATTAAAATTGCTTCTCAACCCTCTTCAACCAAAAGTCGTCGATTATATCGAAGACAGTGATTCGAAGAGGAGCCATTTTTATCATTCGGATTGACAAGGAAAAAAAAATACGTATTCGCAGCAATCATTAATTTTGAACTGCTCTCGTCGAGTTCGCTTTTTCTTGTAAAGTCGCTCGCGTAGTGGAGCAGGTAATGGAAGAAGCCGCGCACAATTTAAAGTAACGAGAACACCGGCCAATTTAACTGTAGACTATTACGCTACCGTAAGAAATTATATTGTTTTCATAAATCATGCCACGACGGCGTCACGAGCGGACCGTTTACATGCAATTCATTTGTTGACTTCACGGTCACGTGTTACGTCTTCGCGTTACGTATTTCCTCCCGGCATGAAAGACTACTCGCTCGCGCCAGTAGGTCATCCGCGATCGCATCGAGATCCAGCGACCTTGAACGTTCGATGCTTAACTGGATCTGATCGTGACACGCGAAACTAACGTGTGGGAAACTTGACTTTTCGCGATGCTTGAGACAGAATTTCGATACCATTTTGTTACAATTTTCCCAGCGGTTTTCCCTTCGGAACAATTCAAAATACGACGAAGATTTCACTGCTCCTTCGTGCCTTTATGCGTATGATTATATTAGGGTTAAACACCAGTGTTTCATAAGGCAACCATTTTGGGAACTACCACTGGATATCTGCTATTCATTTTAATACTTCGCAATATATTGAGTATTAAAAATTCTCACGGCATTCTTCTAAATTGATAAAGAAAAAGGTGTTCCCATCCAACCCTTTGAAGATTCGACTACCAGTGTTCTAAGCTATCAAAAGTTGAAGTCATTTTAGAGTATTGGAATCGAGATCAACTCAGTGGTGATTACAAAGGGGGCAGTAGGGCTTCAGGGATTTAAGTCGTAATTCTAATTTTAAGAAATTAGCCGAAGCGTCGCCTTTACGTGTTTGTCAACCCTTTCCGCGTCTTCCAGTAGCCACTCACATTCACCACCAGAAGGAACAAAGACACAGTGATCGCACAAGGGGGTAAAATGTTTGCACCTTTCAGAAACCCCTGTACACTATTACCCCCTGATAGGAACACACAGACATCCACGAATCCCTCAAAACTTTTTTCGCGGTTTTTCACCCTTTCGAGCAGGACGTTCACCTGGAGATATCTCTTTCCCTCTGTTAGGCTGAAAAGTCACCCTCGAAAGACGATCGTCGCGTGTGAAAGTGGGAGAGACTTACTAGTCCTCTCATCCCCCGGTACGGTGCGAACTGTCTGGTAGATCCTCGATAGATCGGCACGGGCGATCACGGGTTGCGACGACACAAGGATGAAACGCGACGACGAGTGACGAGCGTTTGTTTCGTCGTGGAGTTGCTAAAAGCCTCGTGGCCGATGGCAAGTGTACATTTATCCCTGCGTGGCGGTTCGAACGCGACCACGGAGAGGTCAACCATAGCGAGAGGTGGGGATCCGTGCACACCTCGGTGTCGTCGTCGCTCCCAAGACGCCTCTGGAGCCGCGTGGGGGTCTGGAAACGCCGGGAAAATGGAGGGAAAAGGCCCGAACTCTAACCCAGAGACACTTAACTTCGGGCCAACTTGTTACAGCCGAAGCTCGCGTGGAGCTATCTATAAATATAAATTTTCTAACGATCGTGGAGTCTAAGAGAATTATCGATCATCAAGGACTGTTAAAATCTATCCTTGTGGAAGTAAGAAATAAATTAGTAACGAAGAGAGGACGCAAAAGAGACGAAATGGGTCACGAAAAAGGAAACAGAATCGAGGGCCAACTTGCCAATTGCGAAAGCCCCAGAAGCTCTCACGTTGACGAGCCTTGTCATGCTTGTCAAGCCCCTCTCAATGAGCCTCATTGTCTACGCGACGACCACGCGCCTCCTTTGCATCTAGTAATAGTAGGAATATTTAATTCGCGACTCCTCTTCGAGGTCTACGAAAGTTACCAAAATAATTTATCGCCTCGAAAAGTGGATCGTGAAATTAAGCAATGGAGACTTGTCTGGTTTGTTTAAAAAATCGGTGTATTCATTACACAGTGAAACGATATTGTTTTGACCGTAAAAGATAGATCTGTCGAACTCTCGAGGGACTGGGGATCATTGGCAGCTTGAAGGACGTTTCAATCGGGGGTTCGATTTATTTGTACCGAAAGGGTTGGACGAAGCACTTCGGTCGGCTATCGATCAAAATAACGACGGACGAAAGATGAATCGAGACTCGGCGGATGATGGATCGAGGGAAATAATGCGCAGAGATAAAGTTTACGACGAAGTGGAGCGAAAAGCGGCGGGAAAATATTTGATGGGCGACTCGACCACGCGCTATCTGTTATTCGTTTGCCTCGATACGTTCGTGCTAGGTTCAGTTCGATCTGCGTATGAAAAAGCGATCATTGAAATCCGCGAAGGCAAAAAAAAATGACTAGCGTGATGATTCATCGACGGTTCATCTAATTGCGTAATTATCTTCCAGAGCTAATCTCATCGACACCGCTTCCTGCTTCTCTCGGCTACTTGCCTATCCTGAGAATTCAAGCGCCATTGTGTCACCGTCGTATCAGCCTTTAATTCAAATCGTGATTCATAATTTTGCAAGTTTTAATGACGTGGGAAGCCGTCGGGGTAAAATTACAGGTCCGTCCACGGCGTTGATTGTAGTCTTCGGGGGGAAGCTTTCGAGACGATTAATCGTCATCCTCCGTTGTATGCGGTGTCCTTTAACCGAACACCATGATTCATAATTTAGTGACTTTTCATGTAATGGCGTGGACGTCGTGGATTCTGGCTTGTTCGTAGAAAAAATCAATACAATTTTTAAGCAATTTTCGGTCATTTTTCCTAACTTTTAGGTGATCCATCCAATAAATAGTAGCTTCTTCGTATCTTGTAATCGTATATTAATTTTCATGGGATATTGATCAAAGATTTATGCAGCACATTATGCAGATTAGATTAGAAAAAGCATCTTTTCTCGATTAAAAATACATGTTTGAAATTTTCTTACCGACTATCCCAACATCGATCGTTATGGACCTTTCGATCATTCCGTCAGTTTATCGCCTCCCGCGTCAATTATACAATTTTCCAACGTTCGAAAACAATTAGCCGTGGGAAACAATGCGAGGCGAAATCATCGATCAATATTCACCGCGTTGAAGTCTCGTCCAAGGCGATCGTCGGTGCGGCCACCGGTTTGCGCTCGTTTTCATCGCGGTAGAGATCGTGAAACGCGTCCACGCGTGATGCATAACGGTGACTAAACTCGGCTCATTCATCGACATGAAAATCATAAACAACCGCGCCCTGCTATGAACGAGAATAGTCTCACGATGATCTCTCGAGGAGCGCGTATACGCGGTTAAGGTGTATCGTCTAGGCCAGTTCGCCAGGCCTTGAGCCGATACGGCGAAGCTTTTACCGCGTGCACGCGTTTTTTGAACGATGTATTCCACATAACGAGAACCGTTCAGGTTTGCGTAACATCGGATTCTTTATGCGCGCGACGCTCAGGGAAAAATGGCTTTTCGAATCGCGACGGACCCGCGGGAACGAGTTTTAAAAAACGGTCCGTCGTAAATTGCGTGGACGGAGCTATTTTAAATTTCGCGATCCCGTCTGCAATTACCGTCGTCGACTCGACGAAATTGAATTAACTCCGAGAAGGACAAGACGAATTCAGGTTTCAATGCCGCGCGCGTAAAAGCCAGAAGCTGCTCGTGTACGCAATCGTGGCAGGTGGTTTTAGTTTTGAAAGCGCGCCCCGTGTTCTCCCAGCGAGCCGCTTCGACAATGCTAATCTCATCGGGAGATAATGGGTGCACCGGTCCCACGTACTGGCCGCAATTCTGGGTTCAAGTACGCGAACGTTTACGCGGCTCAGCCGTGCGTTTCTTCAGCCTTCTTTGCCAGCCGCTAACAGCTCTTCGCGAGTATTGCATCTCGCCAGACATTGTTCTCCTCAAAAGTATCGACCTACTTTTTCGCCCGCCATCTCCGTCTAAATTATATTCCTATCGATCGAGGTGAATACCATTGACTAAAAAACACACTGAACTCGAGTGTCGCGTTTTTAACAACCCGGAATTACGTAAGATCCGGTGGTTAAAAATTGACTGATCCTCTTAGGACATCCGGCCCAAATTTTTGTCCCTTTGTTCCTTTGCTTCGTTCGTTGGTGTACTCTTTTCTTCTTACAATAAACATCGACCTACTTCTTTTCGGTTTTCTGCCTTTCTTTCCCGGGCTGTCTTCGCCCGTGTATTGTCGGCCATTGAGGCCGGATGATACAAAACGACACTCTGTTTACGAAGCAATTGAGCAATTATGATTTTAATGCGCTGAGAAGGAGCCGTAAGAAGTAATTTAGAGCGCGAGGCTTCTATTTTAAATACAATGCTACGTGTGTTGGAAGAATAATGAATCGAAAGGGACTGTTTATTTCTATGCGGGAGATTTCGTAACCGAAATAAAAAGAACGTTGAAATTGCAAACGGGTCGATGTCTGAAATTTATTTCGCTGTTCTTTCGATGGAACGAAACTGACATAATACTGGGAGAAACAAAATGTCGAAGGTGTTTAAACGTACTTGGACGTCCGCGTGACGCACGAAAAAAATACTTCCTACCGACAAACTTCCTTCGCGCACGCACGTCGCTATGCAAATCCGCACGTAGCGTCGAGAGACAATCGCGATGCAATCGTAATTGCACGCCAGAAACCGGCAATCGTCGTTCTTATTATAAACCGGCCGATGAAACGTGGGAAAGCTACGATACCTGTTACCGGTATTACGCGAGCGCGTTCAAGAATTATTCAGAGTGGTGTGCAAAGACAAGGTCGATTCGTTAAACGACAGGAACACCTTTTCGTCAACCTGACAGTCGACACGAGATTCCTCCTTGGAGGTCAGCTACGAGGAAAACGGATCGAAAAGTCCGAGATCGGTAAACGCGATATTATAATCTCGTATCTGTCGAATTTAAAAATTTATCTTTTTACCGACACTAACAATTTCTCCAGGTTCAGGCCCTTTTAGACAAAATTTAATTATCTAGGGCAGCGTTTAATGTTACATACATAAAATATATAGACTGCTGATGGTTCATTATTCAAACGAACGATGCATCATCGGAAACCACTTTTTCTTCTCAACGCGTTGATGACTGTCACACCAGTTTTTTACGACGACCTCGATACTTTTAGTATCAATATTTCAATGAGGTAATTGTTATTTTATAGCATTTCCAGTGATAGTCATTTAAAGGTTTACGAGCACCGGGGTTTATACAGGGTGTTTGGCCACTGCTAGAAAAAATTGTAATGAGAGTTTCTAGATGCCAAAATAGGACGAAAATCAAGAATACTAATTTGTCGATAGAGGCTTCGTTAAAAAGTTATTAACGTTTCAAGTTCCGCCTGTACTGAATTTTTTTCTCGAAAATGCGCAGGATTTCGGGGATATGTCTATTCACCAGAAATAATTATAATTAACCCCTGCAACCAAAAATAATTTTTTTAGAACAATTGGAAATTTTTTAATTTTGTCGAAAAATTGTACACCTTGAATTTTTTTCTAGAAAGTGTGTAGGATTTCGGGGATATGTCTATTGACCAAAAATGAGTGTAATTGACCCCTGCAATAAAAAATAATTTTTTTAGAACGATTTGAATTTTTTAATTTTTTCGAAAAATTTTACACCTCGAATTTTTTTCTAGAAAGTGTGTAGGATTTCGGGGGTATGTCTATTGACCAAAAGTAATTATAATTGACCCCTGCAATCAAAAATAATTTTTTTAGAACGATTTGTAATTTTTTAATTTTGTCGAAAAATTGTACACCTTGAATTTTTTTCTAGAAAGTGGATAGAATTTCGGGGGTATGTCTCTTCACCAAAAATGATTGTAATTGACACCCGCATCCGAAAATAATTTTTTCAGAATGATTTGAAATTTTTTAATAACTCTTTAACGAAGTCTCAATTAAGAAATTGATATTCCTGATTTTCGTCTTATTTTGGCCTCCAGAATCTTCCATTAAAATTTTTCACCAGTGACCTCGATGACGATCAACAATCGTACCAAAATAATTATAACAGGGGGTTAAGTTGCTCGGAAAAACAAATAATAGACGGATTGAAAACTAAAAGAATGTCGACAACGGACACCAAAACGGAGGAAAGATAAAATAATAAGAAGACCGGCGCCGCGTCGTGTTGGGCATAGTGACAAATCGTATGCAGAAACGCGAATCTCAAGGCAATCTCCCTGGTTTCGTTTTCGTCGTCGTTTGAAATTTAAATGAGGAAGCAGCGCGTAAGTACCTTCGTACGCATGCTCTCCGGTT